GTACGGCTGATACATATAATACCGATTGATAAAATTTTGGCTCTTGTCCAGTTCATGCGTCCCATGAAAATTTATGCGTCCAATGAAGATTTATGAGTCCCATAAAAATTTTTGCGTCCCATAAAAATTTATGAGTCCCAAAAATAATTCATGCGTCCCATAATAATTTATGCGTCCCAAAAATAATTTATGCGTCCCATAAAAATTTATGCGTCCCATGAAATAAATTGAAAATTTTTTTGTTAATCAATAATACTGTTCTTTGTTAATCAAATACGGTATTTCTTAAAATAATACTCCACCCTGAATTAGTACTCCCCTCTTAAATAATACTCCTCTTTGGAGGAGGGCTGAAAAATAGTACTCCCCCTTGAATTAGTACTCCCACTAAAATAGACTCCCCCTAAAATATTTTCCCCTATATTTGGAAAAATAATAAGAGATTCATTGAATTATTTTATTTATTCTAAGTAGCGTTGTCGGGTTCCTTGATTCTTCGATAAACAAAACCGAACAGCTTTTGGTTAACCGAAATTTTAACCTAAAATTTTTCGAGGATTAAAGAGATAATCCGATTGATTGGTGGGGCAAATGTGGATTTTAGGGATAAAAGGATCGATATCGGATGATAAAATGGGTTCTGGATTGATCAAGTGGGATTTAAAAGATGTTATTGGATTAAGGTTTGATAAAGGAATTTGAGGGAATAATGAATATTTATCATATGTGAATATTTTTTCAATTCAGTTCATGGGACGCATAAATAATTTTTGGGACGTTTAAATTTTTATGGGACGCATAAATTAATTTTGGGACGCATAAATTTTTATGGGACGCATAAATTAATTTTGGGACGCATAAATTTTTATGGGACTCATAAATTCTCTTGGGACGCATAAATCTTCATGGGACGCATGAACTGGACAAGAGCCAAAATTTTTAGGTTGATAGGTATTTATCGGTATTTTTCAGCATTACGGTATAGAATGGTAGATTTGGTACAAAATCCCGGGCTCTAGTTGAAGCTTGTTTACATAACTCAAGATTGTAAAATTCGCAGAAAATTATTTGCTTTGATTATTTAAAGTGTTCATATGTATAAATCTTGCGTAGTAAACATTTTTATATTCTGATCTATATTAGGTATAATAATTCACAAAAAAATAAGAATAAAATTATTGGGAAAAGCAGAGGTAGCGACAAAATAACTAAATAATTTGCCAAACAAAGTCGAAAATGATAGCGAAAAAAGGCTGCCGAACTGAGGAATTTTCGATTAATCCGAAACAAAGAATCTTTTTTAATGACAACCAACTTTTAAAAACAATTAATTAAAAAAATATTTTTTCACTTAAAAAAGCGATTTGTGCAAATCAAATAGCAATTAACCGATCACCTACATTTTTTCTTGTTCCGTCGCTGCCCTTTTCTCTTTCTCCATTTCCGTAAAAAGTGCAAACAATAAAAAGAAAGGTAATAAATAGAATGAAAAAAAAGTAATTTAAAAAAAAGTAAATTTGCGCACATTCCTTTCCTTTTTTCATTCGTGGAAATTTTTTTTGATTAAATAATTATTTAAATGATTTGGAAGGAAAAAATATTTTAAAAAAAAATATTTAATTATTATAAGGAAAATTGTGGAGGGAGTTTATTGTAAATTATTACCTAATAAAGGAATTTAAAAGTAAAAGAGGTCCTTACATAAATTAAATATTTATTTATTTATTACAAAACTAGTTTCCACACACACGCGAGTGATTAATAAATGGAACTTATTAAAATGACAGAAAATAGTTTAAAACAAAATTACCAGACATAAAAAGGAGGGAAAGGCAAAACAAAAGGTTACCAACAAAGCTGGCCGCAAGTACAAAATTGCGGCTTGTTCCAACAAAATTTAATTTAAAAGTGATTGGAATTTTATTAATTTTAATTAGTTTTTTTTGGATTTGAAAAAAGAGGAGAGAAATGAATTGGGAATTTTTATCAATTTTTACATGTAACAAAATAATGAGTCAGAAAGACATAAAAATCAAACCCTCCCTTAATATTTAACTAGCTATAAATTAAAAACAATTTTAAGCCCAAAAAACATTTTCCCTAAAAATATTAAAAATGCGCAGCAAAGCAAATATTTATTTATATTTTAAAGCTAACATTAAATATATATAGGTGTATTATTTATGCAAATAATTGTAAAGAGAGAGGAGATCTAAACTAAAGCTAACACAAAAGCTATAATCGATCTTAGTCAACATATTTTTGTAAATTTATATTAAAAATAATTTTTTTAAATTATAAAAAAATATACAAAAAATTTTAAATTTAATTACAAAATAAAATTAGAGATTGAACACAGTAAATGGCATCCAAAAATTCCAGCAGAATTGAAAAGGTTTTTAAAAAAATTCCCAAATGAGGAAAGACTCCCCAAAAGTTTGTAGGATTTTTAAATAATTTAAAAATAATTTCTAAAAAATTACGAAATATTTTCCCTAAATTCCCTTTTCTAAAAATTAAAAAACGACTTTTTTTTAAATTTCAATCTCTAAAATATTGTTTATTTACTTACAAAATTTATATTAATTTTTTAAATTCATCTATAAAATTACCCGTTCACATTCAAAATTTTTTAAACAATTTTGCTGGTTTTTCTTCTTCATTAAGGTGCAAGTCTCGACATTTTCCATTTATTAAATTCTTTAGCACAATTTTGAGTATTTTCATTATTCATTTTCATCAATTCATAAACTATACGGTCATGAACTCTATTCCCTTGACCTTGCCAAAATTCAAAATAATTTGGTTTGAGTGAATAACCAAGCCTTAAAAATTAATTTTTATTTATTTTTTAAAATTAAATTTACCAATCAGTCGGTCTTGTTATAGCCCCCTCTCCTTCTCTTTTTAAAAGTAATTCTAATTTGTATTGTTTTTCCTCCAAATACTTAAAAAATATTTCATGAAAAATATTTAATAAATTTTGTTTTTTTTGGAAAGGACTTCAAAAAAGTTTGGAATGAATTATGAAAAATAATATTGAAATAAATTCCGAGTTTAGAATATGGAGTGAGAAATTGTATATTTGTTGGAGTGAAATAAAGTTTAAACAAAAGTCGGTATTTTCAGAATTTTTGTAAGAATTTTTTCATCCTATTATGGTATGTATGGGAAAAATTATTTAAACAAAAATTTAAGAAAATTTTAAAATAAAACCTTTCTGTTTGGAATAGTAGAACTTTGTTCACTCAATTTAGAACCTATTCTAGAACCAATAGGTCTCTGTATCCAATATTCATCAGCAATTTTAGAATCCAAAATATTCACAATTCCTTCAACTCGAATCTAAATTAAAAAACAAAAAAAAAAATTAATTTAAAATCTTCAAAAAAAGAAAACCTGTCTGTCAACTTTTGGCCAATAAAAAAGCATTGAAGCATTTTTATTTAATGCTAATTCACAACCTTTTTTACTCAAAGAATGTGTAAAAAATACAAAACCTTCATCAGCATTGTATCCCTTTAAAAGTAACATTCTACAACTTGGTTTACAATCAGAACTAAAAAAGAAAAATAAATTTAATTAAATAAACAGAAAAATTATGAGAAAGAAAATAGGTCTCTGTTTTTAAAAGTCAGACCTCGTATACACTCTTGGAACTGAAAAAAATTGTGTGGAATTGTAAAGTAAGATAACGTGTATTAATTATTGACACTTATTAGGCAGCTCCTTTGTGACAAAACAAATTTTTAAATTTAAAAAATTATTTTAAAGGGAATAGAGGGGGTTTAAGTTTATTTCCTTATTTAATTTTAAAATACTTTTTATTTTTTATAAAAAAATAACCTAACAGTAGAAAGAGCAAAAGCATTAACTTCGTTGTGAGTCAAATCCTCAATTTCACAAATATTTCTAAACCAAACATCGAATTGATCAAATGGACATTTTTTCATATTAGATTCAAGCAGAAAAGGTTCATCAACTTTCTTTTCATAACATTTTCGAAGAGCTTAAAATTGAGGAAAAGTTACAAAATTGCCTTTAAAGACAAATTAATTAAATTTCTTAAATTTTATATCAGAAATAAATAAAATCCTTACATTTTGTATTTAATACAATTTTTTGTTTTGAATCAGAATTATCAAAACTTCCTTTAAATCTTCTATCCATTTGTAAATAATCTTCTTCATTTAATGATCGTTGTTTCACAATTTTATTTATTTTTGTAACTGTTCCCATATATTGATTGTTCGTTTGAATTTTATTAAAAATATAAGGAGTAAATAAAAGCTTTGCATTTGGATAAGACATTCCTTTACTATTTTATTTTTTGTTGTAAAAAAGGCCACTTGAAATTATGGGAAAAAAGGAAATTATTTAATAATTTATTTTCCTTTCTTTTTATTTGTAAAAAAATGACTGAAATTGAAGTGTTTGTATTTGTGTGACAGAAAAAAAATTAGAAAATGATAATTTAAAAGGATTAAGTAATATTTAATGTTTGTGCAGACATTTTGTGGCCTAGAGAATGATGTAACCCATGACGTTATAAATTACATGTAGTTAAAAAATACAAAAAAATAAATAAAAATAGGTAAGTAGATTAAAACTAACATATGTATTTTTAGTAACAGCAAAAAGGCAAGAAAATTTATAAATTAGAAAAATTTTTTAAATCATATATAAGCTAATGATTTTTTTCAACTAGAAAGTCGAATAAAGTTCTGGATCAAAAATAAAATTAAATGAATTGAGTTTAAAAATCAAATTTGACATTTTGAATCAAAGAGAATCAAAAAAAGTCGCGATCAGTTGATTCAGTCGTCCTAAATTGTAAAAAGAATAAAATTAATCAAGTATTTAATAATTGATTTTAAATTTTAATGACTAAAACCATTTTTTAGTTTACTTGACTAAAACTGGACTTTAGTTTCCACAAACTAAACGTCCCGAACCTTGAGCAGGTTATTTAATCTCAAGGATTTTTAAAATGTACTATATTAACCCACAATCAAATCCAGAAGAAAATTAAATTCTAAATTAAAAAAAAACCTTGTAATACCCAAAAGAGTTGCTGTATTTTGTAAACCTCTCCCAATATTTCCACGAACAACGGCAGAAGCATCTTCTGTAGAAGTATTCATAAGATTTTGAAGATTCAAGTCTGGACGTGAATCTGACGGCAAAAGATTATTTAAAGGAGTACTTCCTCCAACATGTTGCATATTTAATTGAAAATCATTCTGAAAAAAAATTAAAAAATTATTTTTTAATTCAAAACCGTTTGTTGAGTTGCATTATAAGTATTATTAAATTGTGACATTTGTACTCTTTCTCCTCCACCTAAAAATGAAAGTCCAGAAGTTGTATATCTTGAGTCCATCGCATTTTGGATCGCTGAAAAAAGGAAAGATTATTTAATTTTTTAAGTCTTTAATAGATAGAAAAATAAATGTAACTATCGAAAAAAGCTGATACTTGTCCAGTCTTTCAGACTGTTCTCAATATGTATCTACCGCAGAGAAAATATTAAATAGGCTCCGATTTCGAAAAGCAGCCCCGATTTTCTTAACAAAAAAAGTTAAACAAACCCATTCGTTTATAACTCATACGCTGTTGACTGCTAGCGGATTGACGAACAGGATTTAAACGATGAAGTTCCCTCTCTCGTTCAGAAATTCTTTAAATGAGAATATTTAAAAGAATAAATTAAAGTAACCTTTTTCGCAATTCTGTAATTGTTCGCTTTGTATTTTCTAATTCAGACTTGTATTCATCACCTTCTCTTACTAACAATTTTATTCGTCCTTCTCTTTCATCCAATTCTTTTAATATTTTTTTGAGATGCAAGGTACTCTTTTGGTTCTAAAAATTTTTTGTTTAAAAATAAATTTAAAAAAAATACTCGTTCTTGAAGGCATTTAAACAATCTCTGATGATGCATAGATTGAAATTCAATAATTTTCTTTGCTCTTTTGAGCGAATCTCCAACAAATGAAGCTGGTGGTTTAAACATTTCAAGCAAATCTTTTCGCATAGAGCGATTAATTTGTATAAGTTGGACTTGCTTATTACAAACAAAACATTGCTGAAAGTTGACAGAGGTCGTATTTGCATCTTAAAAAGAAATAAGATTTTTATATATTTTTCACTTTTCTTAACTTTCAAAAATTTCTTAAAGTAAAGAAGGGATTTGAAAACTGATAAGCCCAATCGCATTAAAATAACCGTTTGGCGCGTTATACAAAAAATTGAACTAATTTTTGAACAATCACGTATCCCAAAAAGCAAGCTTAAAAAAGTAAAAAGGTCACAATCCGTAGCCAAAATAATAATCAAATCTCATTATTGACTCGAGAAGCACATTTTCGCTCATCTTTTTTAATTCAAACCTGATAAATTACACCCATTTATTTCAGCATCAATACAATTTTTACAAAAAATGTGACCACAAGAACTCATCCAAAACGATAAATTGTTCTTTGACGGCTGAACTAAACATTTATTACCTTAAAAATAAATCAAAATAGAAGAATAAATGTAACAATAACTCACAATGAACCCAATTTTGCATACTCGTTTGCATATTGGAAAATAATTGATAGAAGTTTTTAGATTGGAAAAAGCTAAAATTAAAAGTAAAAAAAATAACATTGGTTAAAAAACAAGTTAAAGCAAAAAGAAAGCTGACAAGAAGGTGACACGACTCGGGCACAGTGATCCATTTGCACAGTAAGACAACTATAAAGAAAATTTGGGGGCGTGCTGAGACTCAGATGTCCAAAAACCTAAAGGTTTAGGCTTCAAAAGGTTTAGGCTAAAATCTACCAGGTAACGAAAGAGTCTGAAAATATGGCATCAAAACGAAAGTTTTTGGGATATAACTTTTTTGTTTTTAAATCAATCCAAATAATTTTTGCTTTAATTAAAAGCTCTGGATGTGCTGGTTATTTTTTCATAGAAATTGTTTAGTTTTACCGTCTTTCAAAAAAGTTAGGAGACGTTAACTGCGAATAATCGTTATTTAACATACTTAGGCGGGTGTAACTTTCTAAGAAATCATCGGATCCTTTCATAAAGTTAATAAAAAGAATAAAAACAAACATAGATTCTAATTGATAAAGAAAATTTCTGGAAACGATCGAAATAAAAAAAGTTATGGCATAGCAAAAGGCGTTTTGATGCTAAGTCACCGAGACTCTATTGACAAGCAAGCCTAAAGGTTTAGGTTTGTGCTGAGACTGAAAATAAATGGAAAGACAAAAGAGTCCTGCTATAAAAATATAAAATGCCAATAATTGGCAGCAATTTAAAAGAGCACAATATTTCTTTGTTAGAGAAAACAGAGAAAAATGAGAAAGTTTTTGGGAAACACTGAAACAAAATCTTTTGTTTTTCTAATATCGATCTGAATTTTTTTAATAAATTAAATTATTTTTTTTAAAAGCTTTTTATTTTGATAAATAATATTTAAAAATAATCACAAAATTTAATATTTTAATTTTCAAAATCTTAAAACATTTTTTAAGTAATTTAAGAGAAAAATGGCTCGTCGTGAACGTAACCGTATGGATGAACTTTCTGGTGCTGAGTATGTTTATTTTTTTATTTTAATTTAAATGTTTCTCTTTTTTAAAGATATTTGGCGAGTATTTATGGGACAGAAAAAGACAAAGTATTTTAAATTTACACAAATTTAAGTTTATTTAACCGAAGTTTAAGGATGTAGAATACAGAATTATTTTTTAAATTTTTATTTTTAAATCCAAAACTATTTTAGGTCAATTGTTCTTTCTATTTTAAAATTGGCGCTTGCCGTCATGGTGAAAAGTGTTCGCGGACTCATAATATTCCTTCATTTTCGCAAACTGTGCTTTTAAAGGTTTGTTTTAATTTCCATTTACCCTTATTGTTAGGGCAATAATCAATCAAATGATTTTGATTTTTGTTTGCTTTTTATAGTTAGTCGAGCAATTCCACATTCGAATTCGCTTCATATCACTAACAATTTTTCTGTCCAAACATTATTTCTAATTCAGAATTTCCAGACTTGTCTGAGTGTCCTCCATTTAATTTTTCCGATTCCGGGGTTACCGGAATCAGTGCGCATCGATAGAAAACTTTCGCTGTCCTTGTTTCTTCATCTTTTTTAATTTTAAAATTCAGTACTACATTATTTTTTTATTTTTTAGAATATGTATCACAGTCCAATAATTAATACACAATTAGCAGAAGCATATTCGAAGGTTTAAATTTTATTTGGCAATGTTTGAACAATTTATTTTAATTTTTAGCTTCATTCAGCAAATGCTTTAATGCTAAAATCTGGGGAAGAAGCTGAAATCGAGCAGCGTTATTTTGAAGAATTTTTTGAAGAAGTATTTACTGAACTTGATTCAAAATATGGAAGGATTGAAGAAATGAATATTTGCGACAATATTGGTATTTCTTTAAATTTTTGTAGAAAGTTATTTTTTCATTTTAAGGTGAACATATGATTGGGAATGTATGTTAAAAATGTTTAAAAGGAAAGAACACAAATTAAGGTTTATGTTAAATTCTATGATGAAGAGGATGCTGAAGCTTGTGTTAAGGGACTTGAGAATCGTTGGTTTAATGGTGAACCTATTTATGCGGAACTGTCACCTGTGACTGATTTTCGTGAGGCTTGCTGTCGACAGGTTGATAATTTTATTTTAAATTTGTTAAGGATTGTGAAGTAGTAAAAACCCCTTAATTTAAAAATAGATTCATTTTATTCTTGGGTTATCAAAGAATTTTTTAATGCAGAATTCGCTAAATTGATTGTATTTATTTTCTATAAATTTAACGATCCAAGATTTGGTAAACACAACATTTTTATTTCAAGGTACCGAAAATTACCCAATATTAACCTTATATATTTTGCATTCAAGGAAGGGAGATTTACAATAAAAACAGTTTTCCTTTCAATAAATTTTAAAATTAAATTCCAGGTTTGTTCCTTTGTTTTTTGGGAGAAATTTTGCTAGAACGATTAAAAACGTTGCATTTTCTCATTTTGGCAGTATGAACTGGGTGATTGCAGCAAGGGAGCCTTCTGCAATTTTATGCATTTAAAACCTATTTCGCGTGAACTTCGCCGCCGTTTATATGGTTCTCGAGCTAGAACGCCTGATCGTTTTGGGAAAACACAGCCACGCAGAGGTTAAGATTGCTTTAAATATAGGGGGGATATATCGAATGCGATTTTTCGTGAAACTCCAACAATAAGCCATTTTCTATTTAGATTATTTCCCTTTAGGATTAATTTTTAAGATTTCATTTCTGTATCCACAACGTTAGTTTTCCTTTCAAAATTCCCCTTTAAACCTTTTAAATCTAAAATCTTCCAGATCGTGAATGGGAACATGATGATCGAACTGAAAGAGACGGAGGAAGCAATAGACGTCGTTCCCGAAGTCCGAGAGCAAGAAGACATTGACAAGGATTATACACGCCATTCCGTTAAAATAAATGAAATAATTCTCTACTTTAAAAACAGCAAAAAATTGAAGGATGGTTAAATATTGGTGTTTCTTTAGTTTATTTTTTTATATAAATTTTTTTGAAGATGCGTTTATCAAATCTTTTCTTTTTGCTGATAAAAATACAAAAAGAAAGTAAAATTTTTATTCTATTATAGGAAATATATATCTGGTTTTTAATGAATTCATCATTATTTTTTGTCAGTGGAGAATTAAAAGTTAAAATATTTAAGTTACTTAAAAAGGCAACTATAGTCTATTTGAAATTACAATACAAACAATAAGTTGAGGAATTAGAAGAAAATAATTGATTATACGTTTTTGTTCATCAACGGGTAGAAAATAAGTAGCATCGATGCCCTTTCAGGTCCTAAGGATAGAAAATAAGTCTGTCTCCCTTACAACAAAATCTACTAATATTTGTAAAGAGCGAGAAATTGCACAAAATTATAAGTTCAAAGGGATAATTTAAATGAAGTATTCGCCGCAATCCTTTCTTTTTTTATTTCTGTTCTCGAGTTGGTGTTGTTGTTCTTTGCAATTTGAGCCTAAAAAGAAATATTTCTATTCAAAAAATATTCTTTTTTATTTTACTTTTTCTGTCGAATCCGTTCACATTTTTCACACGGAATGTCCAATTCTGGATCATAAGACGAAGAAGATAAACGTTTTGAAGCCATTCGGTGACATTTTTTGTGACTGAGTGAACCACAACTGTCACATCTTTTTTAAAAAAAATTTTTAAATTAAAAATTATTTGTAAACCTATAACAACGTTCCAGTTGAAAAGGAAAAAGTAAATCTTTTGGGTCCATACAAATTTGACAGAAAAATGCTTGTTGACGACAATGCTTAAAATTAAAAAAAGCTTTTTAATTCTTCAAAAAAATTTATTTTTACTTCACAACTTTCAATGTGAGCTGCTCCCATTTTTGCCAACGGTTCAAGAAATTCTATCAAATTTTTATTTGCAATACGTTCAAAGTCGACGAGCGAATAAATATCTATACATTCGAGTGAACGGAAACGTTTGGGTACAGATGTGAACATTGTCCTAAGACTAAATGTAAAAAAGAATTGATAAATATTTACAACTTTTCAATGAAAATTAGTAGTGCGCGGCAAAATCATTTTTCATGGTCCGGAAACCGGATTTTGAACTTCACGCTCATGTCGGACCGGATCGGTCGGATTTTTTCGGATTAATCCGGTCCGGAAAAAAGCCGGAGACCGCAAAAACCCGGATTTGGGATCCGGACTCTGGAAAAATCCGGCCGGATCCGGTCCGGTGCCGCGCACTAAAAATTAGTAATAATTAATATTTTAGGAGGAAAAGGGAAAAGCACTTATTGTTAGATTTTTAGTTCCTTTTTCCCTTTCTTTTTACCGAAGGGCTATATTCAAGATTATTTTAACTAATTCTAAAATAATTTTTGAAAATTCCTTTTCAACTTACATTCCATTTTCAGTAAGTAATTCTCCAGCAATTTTACACATTTGAACAAAAGGCCACATATGAGCTACTTTAACTCTCAACTTTCGAAAACGTTTCAAATTTTTGACATTTCTATATAATTGCGGATTTATTAGACGAACATTAAAAACTGGTTGGTCTTCATTTTCTGTAATAAAACTAAAGGCAATGTCACAAACTGGATAAAATTTTAAATTCCAATCAGAAAGAATTCGTGCTGGTAAACGACTCTAAAAATAATAAAAAAATAACTTGAAAAGTAAAAGGGAAATAAAAAAACCTTTGAACCCTGATGACAACAAGGACAAAATAATTTTGAATAATAATGACAGAATTGTGCCTGTCTTGTATTTAATTTATCAAATTTGTGTCCACAACCAGCACAACGATGTTTTTGTAATGCCAATTGAGTTAAAAAACTTTTACAAAAAATTTAGAAAAAAAATTATTTAAAAATCCAACAACTTACTCATTCGGCTTTACAATGTCAAAAATAAATTTTTTTCTAGGTGGCCGCCAACTTTTATGTAAACTACTTCCATTTAATATTTTTATATTTGAAGGAGGTGGGGCATCAGTAATCCGTCTCATAATTTCAGCAAGTTTTGTGGACTTAAAAATTTTTTTTCAATTTTTAAAAAATATTCAAACGAACATTTTGGAGAGTAACTGAATCAGTTAATGCAACAATTAAATCCTTCAAATTATTTGCATTAATTTTGGGCGATAGAGAAAGATTTTGGTCGTCTTTTGAGTAATCTCTTTCCTCTTCTATTTCTTCATATTTTTGTTGTCTCGTCGAATTAGAAGATTTTGGTGATGGTGAAACATAAGAAGTTGAAGGTTGTCCCAAATTGTTTGTGTTATCAAAAATTGATAATTCTATATCTCTAAAATTAAATAAAGACTTAAAAGTATTCAAAATAAATTTTCAGAATTTCCAAAAAAAAACCTTGAAGTTCCAGGCTTCTGTGAACATTCTTCTTGTGAATTTTCAAAATAAAAAACGGAACGGCCCTCCTCAAGTTTATAATCAAAAGAGGATTTTGAACCCGTTTCTGATTTATTTGAAATAGAATTACTCCTCAGAATATTAAATTGTTTGAGATATAAACAGGGATCTACTTCCTCATCAAAATCAATATTTGCAGTCATTTCTTTCCATTGAAGTTCTTCCATAGATTCAATTAGATAATCGCTAAGTTGAAGACAAACTTTCTTTAAAAAATTATTAAATTTTTACAAAAGAATTAAAAACTTGTTCATCAATTGGTTGTCTTTCCACACTTTTTTCAACCCCACTTCCAGCAGAGATTGCCGATTCATTTGAAATCAGAGACAAATTATCCCAAACCAAGTTATCAGATGTTGCATCAAATATTTTGGGTTGGACTTCAGGGCTTAGATCTTCAGCCAGCAAAAGGGAATTAGAACGAGTTCGAGTTGATTGAGTGATTGTGTTTTCCTTTAAAAGATTTTTTGTTAAAAAAATTATTTTAAAATATTACTTTAATAAATGCAATATCAGACGAAATAAAAATTGGAAAGGCCGGTGTAACAGATAAACTCAAGCGATTATTTGTATGCCGAGAAGAAGAGCTTTGATGTCCATGACTTGAAAACATACAGAAATATTTTTTAAAATTTAGTAATTATTTCTTCCAAAATATTCATTTAAATATACTAAAATAACAAAAATATGAATCATTAAAAATAAAAATTTAATGTGATTCATTTATTAAATAAATTTCTATAACTAAAACAAGTAGAATACATAATGGGATGGGACGGAAGCGATTTTATTATTCAATTCTTTTAGGAATTTAGGTCAGTTTTTGGTTTTTAGTGTGAACAAATTTTAACAAAAAAGAGGAAGAGGGGGATATCTAAGTCCCGAAATTTCGGTTTTCAGTCCTAGCTCAATTTTTTAAAGGTTTCTTTTATCAATTACCAATTAAAAAGATGTTGAATCTCGAGACCCTTTGATTTTATAAGAATTATTCAGATCGGTCAAGAATCAAGAAAGTTATGGCCATATACTGAATCCGGGGATACTGAATCCTCCATTTCCGGTGTAAATTTTTTAATCACTATACCAACAAAAACGGTACACCTCAATTGAGTCCGCACGATTGAGTCCCCACGATTGAGTCCGCACGATTGAGTCCCCACGATTGAGTCCCGGCACGATTGAGTCCGCACGATTGAGTCCCCGTTGTATATACCTCAATTGAGTCCCCGTGGATTTAATAAGTTTCAAAAGGTTTAAGATGGATATCCGGGATATTGAAGGCTTAAAGTGAATTTTAGAGGACATGTATGCGACATCGAGGGATCAAATTGGATATCGGTGGATATGAAGGGATATATTTTGTATTTGAAGATTAGGAGGTATATCCGGGCATGTATATGTATCTCCAAAATATACATGCGCGGCTGCTCTTTTTCGCCTTCAGTTTTCTTCCTCCTCCCTCTCCGTCTCATTGGCTATAAGATCTTGGTATTCTTCTTCTCCCAGCACTACATTATCCTCGTTACTGATGGTCTCCCTTGCAGTTTCGTGAAGTTCTCGGCACAAGTCGATGCCCTCCACTGGTTCGTCTTCTGCCAGTGGAGGGCTCGTTCCTCCCGATCCCGCTGCGAGACATCAATGCCAGCCGACAGATGTTCCACGCTGAAGCTCTGTTCCTCCACCTTGACCGTGGTACCCATTTAAACTTGTTGAGAAGCGTGTAATTTACGAAAAAAAAATGAAAAACTAGAAATTTAGAAAAAATGAAAAACAAGATAAGCTAATAACAAGGGTGCATAAAAGCTGTAAGATCTCAGGAACAATCTGCCCGGCATTTATTTTAAAAAATTAGAAATTTCAAAAAAAAATTTTTAAAAATAAAGAAATTTTTTAAGACTTCAAAAATTAAAAAAATCTGCTGAAAAGAATCATGTATTGCAAGCAGATTCTGTCAGCTTATTCCATCCCGTAACATTTTTGAAATAATCCCGCATGCAAGATATGGAATTTTTTAAATTAAATCCACGGGGACTCAATTGAGGTATATACAACGGGGACTCAATCGTGCAGACTCAATCGTGGGGACTCAATCGTGCCGGGACTCAATCGTGGGGACTCAATCGTGCGGACTCAATCGTGGGGACTCAATCGTGCGGACTCAGTTGAACTGCTCCGCAACAAAAAATAATTTTAGCGTTCGTTTAAATTTTTATTTTATGCAAAGATATTATCAGATGTTTCTTTGACAAGCACATTTTTAAAAGTGGTTTCATTTTATTTTTTTTTTTATTTGTTTTTCTTTTTCCTTCACAAATTTATGCCTCCAATATTTTTAAATAAAATTTTTGCTTTTTCAGCTTTAGCTAGTAATTACTAACTAGCTAGTACATAATTATATTAGAGTTCCCCAGAAAAAATGGTTCAGTGCTCAAGCAGCAAAATGAATGCATCAAAGCTTGTCAATTCTTTGCTTGGCTTAAGTCATGTTCGAATTCAGAATGTGGAGACAGTTACAAAGAAACTTCAATTAATGGCACAAGCGAGCAGCAACAGACTTATGGTTATTTTTTGTGTAATTATCCTCTCTTCATTTACTTTCAGACAATCTCTGATTTCGACTATACTCTTTCTCGATATCACAATAATGGACAAAAATGTGTTACTACACATGGATTGCTTGAATATGTTGCTGCCGAAATCAATCCTGATTTTCAAAGACGTATTTGTGAATTGCGTGATAAATATGTTGTGATTGAATACTGTCCTCAGACGTTGATGGAAGATAAAATTCCTATCATGGAGCAATGGTGGAGAGAGTCACATGGATTGATTGAACAGGTTTTTTCGAAAATAAATATTTGGGGCCGTCTCTTCGAAAACGGAGTAATTAGTAGGGTTGTCGGTTCCTGGAAATTCTTCGTATATCCGAAACCGAAACGAAGAACTGAACCGAAAAAGGTTTGGTTTGATCCAGAACCAGGTTTGATCCAACTCTAGTCATTAGAATACTTTTTCTTTCCCTCTATTTAAATCTATGTATCATTCATTAATTATATCTTTTTTAAAGAGTTTTTACCCAATTATTAACTTAAGTTTCTATTAAATTTGTATTATATTCTTTAAATTTTAAAACTTTTCCTTTTCAATTTTTGTTTTTTTAGTACAGACCGAAGAAATCAAAATTACGTGATGCTGTGAAGCGTTCGCAGAGTCTTCTTTTAAGGCTTGTTTTTTAATAATATTATCAAAGTAATTTTCGTTTACGACTTGTCAGAAAAAAATTTTTTCGATAAGCGGTCTACCGTCAAAAATTTTTAATTTAAAAGATTTTATATTTTTGAAGAGATGGCTGTGCTGATTTTCTTTTAACTCTTCATCAAGCAAAAGTTCCAGTTGTATTATTTAGTGCTGGAATAGGGCAAATAATTGAATTTGTTTTGGAGCATCAATGTGATGAACGTCAAATGGACGAAGCTTTTCGTCTCAGAGATGTTCATATAATCTCTAATTTTATGCATTTTTCATTAGAACAAGAAGAAGAAGAGGCAGAATGTGTTGGATTTGTTGAACCTTTAATTCATACTTTTAACAAAAATTCGTCAGTAATATCACAAGAAGCCCCGTTTTTTAAAAGTATTGCTGAAAGAACTTCTGTGTTATTACTTGGAGATAGTTTGGGAGGTTGTTTTTGTAAATAATTAAAGTTTGTCTTATTTTTTTCATTTTTAGATGTTCATATGGATGTTGGTGTTTGTCAGGAATTAATTGTTCTCAAAATTGGCTTTGTAATTTTTTTATCTATATTTTAAATTTTTAATGAATTACCAACTTGTGTTGGCGGATCCGGATCCAAAAAATTTAAATATCCGAAAATTTATATACGGATATCCGGGGATTTTCCATGATTCTCAGCTTTTATTACTAACACGTGGAGCCATAATATTTGAATTATTAATTTTTCAAATTAATTCCCGCTCTCTTTAAGTGCTATACCCCTAAAAACTTTCGATAAACCTTTTTATATTAGCCTAAAAAAATTTTATTTTCAGCTTAATTTCAACTTTGATAGCCTTATGGAACGTTATATGGAAGAATATGATATTGTTTTGGTTGATGATCAAACAATGGAAATCCCTTCAAAAATATTTTGTTATATTCATAATGAGGGTGAACAGGTTGATAATGGTATTATTGATGGATTTTCTGTTGATATGGAGAAAACAATTGAGAAGGTTAAATAAATTGAAGAAATTTATACACTGCTCCACATAATTATAAGTCCACCCCTTTTTTCGGGATTTTTTGACCCCCAGTGATCCAAATTTTCTGAAAATTTAGAAACACACCTTTTAGTGAATAACTAACAAGGTGTGATTCGATTTTTGGCTGAATTTTTATTTAAAAAATTTTTAGACCAAATTTTGTGTTTTCGGCCTCCACAAAATTATAAGTCCACTTTTCAAAAAAGATAGTTCCAAGTTTAGGAAAAATCTACAAAAATTCTAGCAACAATATATAATGATATTATGAAAAAATAAAACTGAACTAGACCTATAACTTTGCCCGGAGCCGAGATCCTGAGACCCCAAAAATCAACGTAAAATGGGGTTTTTCAACTTTAAAAAATATTTTCGACCCCTTATGGATTACTGTAAATTTTGATTTTGGGCTCATTCGACAGTCCTTGAAATTTGCTACAAGAAAGCAATAGTCTTATTTTTCAGAAAAATTCCTTAGAGAGACACAAGACGATAAGATTTCTAATCGTCATTATAGGGCATTTTATGGGGCATTTAGACGTTTTTTGCTGCATCAGAAGATTATCGCCTTGTGTCTCTCTAAGGAATTTTTCTGAAAAATAAGACTATTGCTTTCTTGTAGCAAATTTCAAGGACTGTCGAATGAGCCCAAAATCAAAATTTACAGTAATCCATAAGGGGTCGAAAATATTTTTTAAAGTTGAAAAACCCCATTTTACGTTGATTTTTGGGGTCTCAGGATCTCGGCTCCGGGCAAAGTTATAGGTCTAGTTCAGTTTTATTTTTTCATAATATCATTATATATTGTTGCTAGAATTTTTGTAGATTTTTCCTAAACTTGGAACTATCTTTTTTGAAAAGTGGACTTATAATTTTGTGGAGGCCGAAAACACAAAATTTGGTCTAAAAATTTTTTAAATAAAAATTCAGCCAAAAATCGAATCACACCTTGTTAGTTATTCACTAAAAAGTGTGTTTCTAAATTTTCAAAAAATTTGGATCACTGGGAGTCAAAAAATCCCGAAAAAAGGGGTGGACTTATAATTATGTGGAGCAGTGTATATAATATTAGAGATAATTAACTATAAATTGAGAAGAAGAAAAGAAAATAATTATTAAAATTTTTAACAAAAATATATTATTGTGCTTTTTGTTTTTTTAAAAACGCCTTTTTCGATGTGAAAATTTTTTTATAAAAAAGTAAATTTATGAACAAGGATGATTATAATTTTTAGTCTTATAGTAGATAAAACAGTCGTATGTATCTTCTGAATATTTATGTAATTTATAGTTTTCCCTTACCTCTGGATTTTGAATTTTACCCGTATCCGAATTTTACCCGTAATTTTACACAACCTGGAATACGACACTTAATCGAGACCATTTAGTCGCAGAAAACCTAAAAATGAAACCTAAACAATTAGTCACTCTCCTTCATAAATTGGACAGTTTTCGTGATCCCAAGCTTGATCTTGAGCAATATGCTACGCCACCAGATATTGCAGGTATGTAGCAGGGATGTCACGGGTTACCCGAAACCCGAAACCCGGCCTTTTTTTCGACCCGATACCCGAAACCCGATCCGAGAAATTTTCTAAAACCCGACCCGAAACCCGACCCGAGAATTTTTATTTTTCAAAACCCGACCCGAAACCCGACCCGAGTTTTCTCAAAATTTTCGCCCTCGTCGGAGAAAAAGGGAAGATTTTTAGCTTAATGATCTTCCAAAATTCTAAAAATTTTCGCCTGCGGCGCTGAAAAAGGGAAGATACCCGGGCTTTTTTTCGACCCGAAACCCGAAACCCGATCCGAAAAAAATTTTGAAAACCCGATCCGAAACCCGACCCGACTTTTTGCTCAACCCGAAACCCGAAACCCGATCCGAGAAAAATTTTGGAAACCCGATCCGAAACCCGACCCGACATTTTTCTCAACCCGTGACATCCCTGGTATGTAGAATTAAGTTATTTATTTAGTGTTAGAAAACTAGTTATAATTCTAAATTTTTCAGTATCATTAATTCAGCACATTAATTACGACATTGAGAACTTGAATAATTGTTTTGTAGCGGATCTGGGCTGTGGGACAGGTACATTTAGTCTAATAATTTTAGAGTAATTTATTTTTGAAGGTACTCTGCTAGTTGGTATGCTGCTTGCTGGAGCCAGGTACACAAGATTTTCAGAATACAAGAAAAATTTTAATTAAAAAATTCACAGATTTGTTGTCGGTATTGATATCGATCAGGATTCGTTAGAAATATGCCGAAGTAATATAACAACTTTTACATCGTCTGAAATGTGTTACGACTTAATTCAAATGAATTTGAGGATTGGGCAAATTCCAGAAAAGCTTCATGGCATCTTTGATTTGGTTATAACAAATCCACCTTTTGGCACCAAGAAAGGGACTGAAGGTATTGACAAAAAATTCTGACGTTTTTTATTCACCAAATCTTTAAAGGGGCAGATGTTGATTTCGTCAATGCCGCATTGTTGTTAGCAAAGCCTAGAGGAGGTCGTGTTTATTCTCTACATAAATCATCTACGCGCAAATTTTTAGAAAAGAGATTTTGTAGAGGTGGGTTAATAAAGATTCATTTTATAAATTTCAATAAATACCTAATAGTTTAAGCTGAAAAGGAAAACGGTGAATTTTTACGAGTGGAGCGTGTAGCAGAAATGCATTGGAACTTGGATCAAAGTTACCGCTTTCATAAAAAACAGAGTGTAGATATTGCTGTAGATCTGTTTATGTTTGAGCGGAATAGAGTAGACCATGGATGAGTGAAAGACATCAAAATTAAAAAAAATTATTTTTAATTTGTAGCAGATACATATGTAAATATTTACATTTTGTTACGCTTATAAATCACACTTATTGTTAGTTTGATTATCTCTAGAGCCTGGAATTTTGTATTTATTCCGTACCGACCGGAATACTGAATAATACCCTTTGAATCAACAATTTGCCGCACCCCATACTTATCATGAATCTTTTAGTACGGTACCTTCCGGGCTCTAGTTACCTCTGCCTATATCCAATTGAGTATTCATACATAAATTAGAATCTATTTGAGTTGATATGGTACTTATTAATATTGCCAGACTAGAGAGTTGTTGTCGCATCTTTCCATTCTTCAAGTGCATACTCCTCTACCCTCCTCCAATAATCCATTTGTTGCATTCGCATCTCTCGTACATGCGCAAATAACTTTGTATCCAATTTCTCCATACTTATCATGAATCTTGATTCGTATTTCCATAGATTTTTAACTTGGCTACCGATTTTGGCACAATTAATCGTTGTCATTTCACTTGCAAGATTGGCGTTGTCCAAGTTAAACGGTGAGAACCACCCACCCCATTTCGTGGAGTTTTGCCATCTTTAAATATAAACATTAACACAAGAGGAAAAATTAGCACGTACTTTCTTTTGAAGCCGTGGAGGAAGAAGTCACGCTTCTCGTTCCACTCGCTTCCAGTAAGCCAAATGTCACGCGCCCAGTACTGCCTAAAGTCTGTCAATAAGAGGAGACTTGTGGATCTTCCTTCCTTTTCTTCTAAAAACAAATTCCGTTTTCCTAATGCGCTTCTTGCACAATCGGTAAAAAGCCTAAGACCATCATCATCTCTTGAACGCTGCCAAAGTTTCATGCAGATGAAACGTCGTGAAGAGCAGCCATCACCACAGAAGCGATCCAAGAAAACGGCCTAAAAATATTAAATTTTGATTAGATGTGTTGTTATTTATAGATAAGGTTAATTTGAAAGCCGCCTACGTGGATTGCGCCATTATCTGTGCCATGCCAACTCCATGGTAATTTGTAAAAGTAATCGGCCCAGAAATGTAGGAAATTGATTGTTGCTACTGTATTTCTATAAATTTGTAGTATTTGATTCGAAAATTAATAAAAAATGAACAGTAAACCTACAGATAATGTCTCACTCACAATCAGTTAGTTTTAAACTTCACATCAATCTCTCCTTATGAAACTAAACCTAATGACTGTATTCCTGAGTCATTTTTATTAAAAAGACCAATGAGACCTGGCGATATAGCTGCCAGCAACAAATTCACCATTAAATATTCGCTCGTAGAAGACGAGATCAGGAAGCGATTGTATTTTTCCATCTCGCATAATATTCTGTGGCAAATATTCCTCCACCATACGTGTTGGATTTACAACTCCAATGTCAGCATCAAGAAATAATACCCATTCTACTTTTGCAGAGTTGTCACTGAGGAAGTGTGCGAGTGCGCAGTGTCGCCGAAACATAAACTGCGCTATTTAAGCAAATTTATTCGATTCACATTATTTTTACTTTAACTATTTTTCTCATAAAACTCACATCACTCTGCGGACAAAGAGCAGAAAGCGTAGAATTACTTGAAAAGTCCAAAATAACAAGTGGATAGCGTTTAGCGGCACAATAGCAACGTAAAGTGCTATGTGCAATTTCATATTCAGTAATTAAGTCGCTTAAAAATAGTAGTGAAATGATGAAATTATAAATAATTTCGAAATACCTCGCTGACTTGACGACAACAAAAATTACGATATGCTCATTACCTAAATACTTATTAAAAACATAAATAGACTTCAATATTTTAATTAACCTTTAATATTAGTAGAACGTATCTTACTAACATTGTGTTGCCCTAATCCTCGAAGAACAACATAAATTAAAGGGCTTAACGTTAGAAGGAGAAGGATCTATTAAGTTAAATGGAAAAAAATTTGACGAAACATTCGAGTTTTTAAGAAACTCACCAAAGCTTTTCTTCGCAGTATACAATAGAAACATTTCAACATGTTTTATACTAAATTTTTTGAAAAGCAAAAATGTTTTTACTCCCTCAAAAGGTATTTTAAGTCCATATTAAGCGTTGCTAACTCTCGATACCTAGCGACAATAAATAATTAGAATATAACGAAAAGAGCTATGAAAGCTAAAAAAATTTGAGGGTCATAATATTTTATTGGAGTTTATTAAATAAAGTAAATGATTTCAAAAGCGTAAAAACGAACGTACAAATGATAAGAAAAAAATACAAAAAATAGACAATATTTTTTTAAAAATGAGTAGTGGGCCAAGAGTAAAAAAACCAGAGAAATGAGCAAAGAATCGATAATGGCAGAGGATGCGATTAAAATTTGGCCATAATAAATTTTTAAAATCAAATATAGTGCACTACACTGACGTGCAAAAGTTTATCTACACCGACAAAAAAATTTTTTAAAACGTTATGTTTCGGGAAAAATGTCTTTAAAAATATGATTCATCAGTATTAAGTGAAATGTGCTATTTCTATTAAACTTGAGTTTAAAAATAATCACCATGATGCCTCAGAATTTTCAAGCAAAGCTAAACCCGAGACTGCCTCCCAACTCGGGGAGTGCCACCTAGTTAAGCTAAACTAAAGCAGACTTCAACAATTGCCCCTCAATGTATCGAACCTGAGTCTTTTGTTAAGTACATACAATTAAGTGTATTAATATATTTCACGGCAGTATTTTACTGTCATTCGGAGTTTAACCAAAATTAAAAATTATTTTGAAAAATATTTATATGTAAATGAATGGAGAAAAAATTGAATAAAATGTTACTAATTAATGAGGGAAAACTGTAAATTTTAGCTTAAAAATAAAATTTGAACAATTTCCTTCTCTCTCTCTTTTTCTTCATATTTTTAAAATAAAATTGTGGAATTACAAAAAAATATTTAGTATTTAGAGGTTTTGAAAATAAAGTTAAGGAGGTTTTTTGAATAATTTTTGCAAGTGAACATCTTATTTAAAATGAAAATATATGTTGAGGTAATAATTTTGGATTGATCCCTGAGAAATACAAAAAACGTTAAATTATTATGTTAATATTTGAGAATACTTGAGTTTAGACTGGAAAATATTTTTTTCACATGGGTGTTCAAAATTGTGTGATTCAATTAGCAAAACAAATTTTTTAATCTCAAGTATTCCCAAGAAAAATTTTCAGAATTTCATCCCCTAAAATATCTTCAATGTCTTTAACCTTCAATAGAAGGCCCAGGTCTTCCTCTCCCACCACCACCACCTGTTGATGGTTGCGTTCCTTGTCCAGTACGTTTTGGACAGTCAGCAATTAAATGCTTATTTGAGAAACAAATATAACAAACTTTGACATTATCTTGCATTCTTTTACATTTTGCTGCTTTGTGATGGCCAAATTGACCACATTTGTAGCACCTTATATTTGAAATATTTATTAGTTAGAATATTTTCCTTAATCCGAGCTATCAGTCTCACTTATTCTAATTGTAAGGCTTATGTCATCCACCCTCTCCTAGCTCTTTTTCCCCTCTCCAATTTCCCTCAAAATCCCTTTCTCCCAACTTTATCCCCATTCTCTTTTCCATTAAAGATTCACCTAATTTCCTTTTCTTTCCTCTTCCCTAAAGGATGAATTCGATGTCCACGTATCGCCACTCCATTCAATCCCGTAACATTTTCAGCCTCCAATCCACGTTTACCCAAACGAACATTAAATTCTACAGCTTCACCTTCATCAAGTGAACGAAAGCCGGGCATTTGCAATGAAGATTGATGAACAAAAATATCATCTCCTTTAATTTCTCAAATTTTTCTTTTCTCGATTTTTAAACTACCATGTTCTTTAGCCTCCTCAAAGTCAGGCAAAATAAATCCAAATCCTTTTGTTACATTAAACCATTTACATATCCCTGTCCATTTCTGTCCAATATAACCATTATAACGAGCAAAATCTTCTTCTGTAGGCTCTTTACGTTCAGCTAAAGCTTGCTTTTCCTTTTCCTCTTCTCCCAATTTTGGCAGAGCTGAGGCTAATTCACTTGTATCCATTGCTTGTTCTGATTCCTTTTCTTTTACTTCTTCTTTTGGAGGAGTATTTCCCGATGGTGATTTGCTGGACATTGAGAAGAAAGTTTTTGATGTTACTGAAAATTTTTTGAAAGAATACATAATCTTTTGTGAAATAAAAAAAGGAATGAATTGACTTTTAACTTTTAGTTCTCATTTCACTCAAAGAAAAATATTTTTTCTTCCTCATATCAAAATTTCAATTTAACAAGAAAGGACAAATTTGGTGATTTGCTGGACATCTCATCCACTTCTACCCAAAAAAGCCCTAAAAACCCCTAACCTAAACCCCTAACTCCCTCCCCCAACCTTCCACTATCCGCCCAATTTCAAAAATTTCTGATATCAATACAATTCTGATATTATTTTCAAATTTAAAACTTGCCTTTTCTTCTCCGCGTGAAGCGCAATTATTTGTGAACACAACGTTATAATAGATAAAATATTCTCTTTTCCCCTAAAAAACCTATTATTTTTTTAGAGAAACGTTTTTTTTGATGGATGAATGGGCCAATATAAATAGTATGTTTATAAAAAAAGAGGAGTTACTTGCAACAAAGAGGGGGAGGGAAGGGTCATAAGATAAAAAAATAGGAGTAAATATTTAAGTATAGACTGTGGAGACGTAAAAAAAGCAACAACTATTTTCTTAACCCGATAAAAAAGAAAGGAAAAAAATTAATTAAAAGAAAATGTTTAATTTTTAGATATGCTGCGCGGATACGCGGATATATTTTGCGGAATTAGAGGCATCTCGAGTTTAATGAAGATTAAAAAGTAAAGAGGATTTTGTGATCTAATTATTTTTGGAAAATATACAACTAAATAAATACTCTCTTATAATTAAAAATAGTTTTGACCAGAAAAAGGCCATAATAATGGTCAGTATTTGCGTTAGAATGAATGGAAATGTTTTCACAATGATGATTCTTTTCTTTCAACTATTCTTCCCCTTTTAAATTCTCTGAAAACTGGGTGGGCTTGTTTAAATAAACAAACAATTTTTGAATATATTTACATTTCTAACTAAACTGGTTTGTATGAAATATAGATCATTGGAAATCTAACAATCCAAAAATACTTGGAAATACATGTATACAAAACTTGGTCGAGTTCGAATTATTAAATTTTGATTTAACAGAACTACAGAAAAAGTAATTGATATTAAATTGTGAGCCTTATCTTTCATTTAATGTGTCTCAACTTTAATTTACAAGCATTAGAATGCCGGTTTCAAATAAAAAATATAAAATAATTTTACAAAAAATTCCTAATAATGACCTCTTTCTAAATTGTGAGAAAGGACCACGAAAAAGTGGAAATAAAAGTGCAAAACAGAAAGAAGAATAACGGAAAGAGTCGATAGATGAATGGGTGGATGGAGGATATATTCATCTTCTCTGAACCACCTGTCCTCGATGGACAGTTGGCGTTCTTCTTCTTTTTCCATTTTTTCTGGGTTTCTCTTATTATTTTGGGGGTGGTCCTTCTCTTTCTCATTCACAAGAATTTCCCCTCCAAAAATATACACAAACAGGTATATATTTATTTATTAATAACTAAAAAAAAAGAAAAGAAAAAATTGGCAATCACCCAAAAATAATTTTTTTTAGTGTTGCTATTTTTAAATATAGATATATTAATGGATTTTGTTAATGGAAAAAAAGGATTTTTTATTAACACACCGAAAAGTAAAAAGAGGGAAAAAATTAATTTTGTGACAGAAAATTTGAAAAATAAATTGAATTTTAAATATTTCTAATTTAATTTCCATAAAGTACAGCATTAATTTCCCCCATTATATAAACTTCTCGCCCATTATATTTACTTGAAATATCTGCCTCTAACTTTAAAAAAATTTACAAAATAATTTTTACAAAAAAATTTTCTTACATTTTCTTGTAAAGCCTTTGCTGCTTCAATAATTTCTTGTAAAAGAATATTTACTTTTTGACTTTCTTCAAAATATTGTTTTTGTTTTTCTATTGATAATTGTTGTAATTGACGATATTTTAATTCAAGACGCATTTTTTGTTCAATTTTTGAACAAATTTCATTTACAAAACTGAAAAAAATAAAAAAAAATTATAAGGGAAAAATTCCTAATTCTTAAAAGTTTGCAAATTTGTTTTGAAAATTTAATAGAAATTAATAGAATATTGGTCAAAAATTAAGCAAAAAATCGAGAAAAATTATTTTACAAAAATTCTAGTCATCAAAATATTTTATAATTTTATTTATTAAAAAAACAAACTTTTTCGAAGTTCTCAATCTAAGTAATTGCAATCGTTGTGTATCCCCCAATTCATTAAATATATTTTGTAAATTTAATAACCAACATTTTAATTCAGGTAAATTAATTAATTCCGTCAATTTATTAATTTCTTTTTGTGCAATTCCTGACAAATAAATTTGTGCATTTCCATCAATTGCACATTCATCTTTAATTCGAAAATGTAAAAATCCTGTAAGAATTGATATTTCATCCAAAAATATTCCACAAGTTAAGGGATGTTCTAATATAGGTAAAGCTTCTTCTCCTTTAGCTGTCACAATTGTTGAATCATTATTATCTGAAAAAATTAAAGGAAATTATTAAAAAATATTAAAAAAAAGAGAAAAGAAACTAAGAAAAGTTATAATAAGGAAATCTAATAAATGACAAAAAAGACTGGTCAGTTCGGATCGAACCTCCAACGGAAATTAAGGAAGCTAATTTTATTGGAAAAATTGAAGTAAAATTAAACGAAAATTTCTTAGAAGAAAAATAAACACAAAAATTAAATTTTGAAATCAAAATAAACCAAAAATTAAAACTAAATACCCAACCATTATTTATATTTGTAACATCAATTCCATCTGAAGATATAATTTGTATACTTTCATCAGAATCCCCATTTGTACAAAAATCAATTTCAGCAATATCAACATCATCTCCAAAATCTATTTCATCGTCCTAAATTTCTTTTAGAAATTATTAAATTTTAATTAAATTTTTTGGTTTTATCCTTGCCATCTGACAGAAAATATTTTTATTAAACAATCTAAAGGAGGACAGATCGAGTTATATTATAATCGTCTTTATTTTCCAAAAATTTCCCTTTAAAGGAATGAATTACAGTTGATTGTGAGATGGATTCACTTTTCTATCCTTATTGTTTTCTGACCATTATGAGTCTTTTGTGAATATAGGAAAACTTTAGGGAAATTTAAAAAATTCTTTTACAAATTCTTTTCCTTTAAATTAATTTCTTAAAAAAACCTCTTCCTTTGTTTCAACAGTTTGTAATATTTCAACAAGCGCTGGAGGCAACAAAACATCAGGTTTCCTTCCATACTTCCATTCATATACACTAATATCACTAACAGGACGATTTAAATCTTTGGTTAAAATTCGAAGTAAAGGGAATAAATCATTTGTTTCTTGACTAAAAAAAATTAATTAAATATTTTTAAAAAAATTTAAAGAAAAACCCAATTTGTTGAGAAAAACAGCAAAAATAATCCAAAGCTTTTTTTATTTCTTCAATTTTTAAAATTTCAGCTTTTGGGAGGGACTCGGCAATTAACATTAAATTATAATGTAAATTTTCGAATTGTTGTTTTTGACTATTAATAATATTTTTATTTAAACCCCATTTGGCCAATTCTTGATGAAAAAGGCGATTACTTTCAATTGCTAATTTAGAATAGTCATTCTGCTTTCGTTCAGCTTCCTTTTAAAAATTAATTTAAAAAAACAGAAAAAGAAAATCAGAAAAACCAATATTGGAAAAAATTAAATTTTAATGACATTTCATCCAAAAAGAAGCCCCTTTTTTAAATTAAATACCTTAATTCCACTTTCTATTTTAGTTATTTGCTTTCGAAGTGATGGAACCTAAATATAAAAATAATTTTATTTGTCAACTTCAAAAAACCTCATATTGAACATAACGTTGTAAAAAATTGGCAGATTCTCCCAAATAAGCATTTTCATTTTCATAAAGAGAAATAATTTCCTTAAAAGAATTTTTAATTCCTAATAAAAAAACCCCAAAAACAAACCTTCCAATCCTTAATTCTTTGTGAAGAATAAAATCCAAAAATATTTTTTGTATCCTTTTCTGTCTCATAAAGAATTTTTAAAATTTCTTTACAATGAAAATAATTAATAACTAAAAAAGATTATTAAAAAAAAATAAATTTCAAAAAAAACCCAACATTGTCCTCCATTTAATATTTTAATTATTTGTTCATTTTCAGGCATATCTTTAATTGCATTACTTATTTTTTGTCTAATTTCATCAAAATTTGATTGCCAATTTTTGGAACAATGACGACGAGAAATTAACCAATCTAATAAAAAAATAAATTTTAAAAATAAAAAATTTAAACCTAAAAGTTTATTGCTGTGGATATCAATAGGCAAATTATCCATTTTTATTTGTTACTATAATATTTTAATTAAATTTTGTTGAATTTCTAAATGTTTTGAAAAAAATTAAACCTTCGCAGGCAAAACTTTTTTTCTAAATTGGGACGGGAATGTCCCAAATCAGTCCTGCCATTTCAATTCCTACCGTTTCAGTCTCCACCTATATAAAGACATTTCAGTCCTCATGTGAAAAAATTAATTCCCCACTCCCATTTTATAAAAAATTTTCAGGCTTAGAAATTTTTTGGAAATTTTGGGGAATTTTTTAGGGTCTAGAAATTTAAATAAATTCATCGTAAATCATAAAAAATATATAAAGTACATAGATACACATGTACATATGTAGAAGACACATAAATAAATGCTGTTTTATCCGCTATAAACAACAAATTTCAAAAAATAATTTTCCTTGTCATAAATCAAATAAACGTTAAACATTTTAAATTCCGTATATAACGTCAATCTTCAAGCACTCAGAAAACCAAGGACCTTTATGTAAAGCTACAGGCTAGTTAGGTGTAGGGATAAATAGTGTTAGGGTAAAATAAAATATAGTAATAACTTTTTGCAAGATTTTTGCTACAGATAAAAAATAATTTATTTACCGTTACTCTCACAATTAATATATTTAATAATCTCATCATCAATTAATTTAACAAATCCATTTCCTTTATTACATTTTGTATTTGTTACTTCAAACAAACATTTATCAGTACAACAACTATTAACAACTCCATACCATTTATTTTCAATTTGTACAAAACACTAAAATATATAAAAATATTTAAATTTAAATAAACTAACCGCTCGTTTACAATTTTTACTCAGTCGTTCCAATTTACTTTTTAATTCTCCCATATTTTTCTCATATGACGCACTCATCTTTAATTTATAATTTTAAACTTTTTAAAACTCAAAAATTGTTAATTATTTAAGTAATTAGCAGAGGGGCTCGCCCTTAGGGCAGGAGCCCTTTTGAATGAGCTACTTGTATATTCGAATTTTTAGCCCAAAAAAGAGCTTCTTCCCCTTATAGTTTTTGACCATTTCGAGCCCTATATCTCGGCCGTTTTTTCTGCGGACTAACTTTGGTATCATTCGACTCATTGTCAGATCGACGAGTTCATTAGAATGAAATATAAAATGTTTTTTTAAAACGTTGGTTTACTATAACTCCAGCCTACCAAAATAAAATTAAAGGTCTTCATAAAAGGACAAAATTTAAAAATTAATAAAATCCCCTTTTTACCTCATTCATTTGTTCTTGAAGTTTAACATTGTTCTCCTTCTCTTCATTAAATTCAACTAAAAGATTGTTAAGCTTTGCTTGAATATCCAAATCATTATTATCCATTAAATCAAAATCAGAATTTGTTGAACTTTCAGACATTTTGTAAAAGAAAATAAAATCTAAAATTTAACAATAATTAAATTTTGTATATTGTTTGTTAGGTTGGGGTTTGATGAAAAGCCTGAAATTTATCTAACAATAAGAATTCCTTAAAACTATTCTCATATAGTTTTGAAGTCAATGATAAATTAAAAATGAATGTATGTAATTCTGAAAAAACTTTGAATTTATACAGAACGGGTAGAGCCCAAAACAACGCAGGCCGAAACTACGCAAGGCCAAAACCTATAAAATATCAAAAACCACGATTGCGCGCACTTATCTAGATTTAACTTTTCGTAGGATGATCTGATCAAAAATCTACTTGGCGAAAATAATCCTCACATCCAGGGCTCTCGAATTTAAAAGACTTATTTTAAATGGCCGAAAACCCAAAAAATTATGTTAAAAAAATATGGCTCCGGGACTCGGTTAAGGACGATTCAGTATCGCCGATTCAGTCTCGCCGATTCAGTATCGCCGATTCAGTCTAGGCCGATTCAGTATCCGCCGATTCAGTATTCGCCGATTCAGTATAGCCGATTCAGTATATGTGGAAAAGGGGACGATTCAGTATACGTAGAATAAAATACCCTAAAAATAGAAATTTTTGGAAAGGAACTGATTTATTTTTTCGTTTAAGCATTTTCTTTGTTCTTTAGGTGGTCTACCATAACAATTAGCAATAACCAACAGCAATTATTAAAGATAAAATAATTTTTATGGAAAATTTAGAATTTTTTTAATTTTTTAAAATTTTTAAATTTCTTCAATTTTCTTAATATCTCAAGACGGCGAGATTTCCACTCCCCAATTCCACTCCCCATTCCATTTTTTTATTTTTAAAATTTTTTTTAATTTAAGACAATCCCGTCCTGGACTTGTTTTTATTTGTGTCGAGCAGCTTGCTGTTGAGGTGGTTGCCTGGTCCTCTTTATGCCGTGTTTACATAAAAAGCGTCTTGCGTTTTGCGGAAGAAAATAGCATTCAAAAGAATGAGAGACAAAATCGCGTCTCTTTATTTTTAATGCTATTTTCTTCCGCAAAACGCAAGACGCTTTTTATGTAAACACGGCATTAGGGCCACAAATCTAATAAGTAAATGTAGACCCTGATTCTCATTTATTTTTTGATAAATTATTGTTTATTTGACTCATTTTTAAAAAAATTTTTGTCCCCGAAGGAAAAAAAGTCGAGACCAAAACTTCACCCTAAGCCAGAAAAAGCCTAAGAGGAGCCTAGAATTAAGACTTGGCTAGCTTTAAAGATGTTCTATAGATCGTAGAAAGTAAGAAACACGAAAAAAACTACAAGAAAAAAGATTTTCTAACCCAAAAATATACGTATACTGAATCGTCCCCTTTTCCACGTATACTGAATCGGCGATACTGAATCGTCCCCTACCCCCGGGACTCAACCGGTGGGACTCAATGATCCCCTTTGAAAAAATTTCGTTTTGTCACCAAATCTTTTGTCACCGAACTTTCGTCACAATTTTATTATTTCGAACCTCGAACTTTCTTTAATATTTTGGTGTAGCTGACTTCAACGACAAATCAATCATCATTAATGAATATTTTTACTTAATATTTATTAATTCCATACTTTTTGTTAAATGGATTGGACAGCAGAAGCTTCTACATCAGAGGTTAAATTAGTTTTTTTTGTTTTTTTAATTCTATTTTAGGCATTTTCTGTTGCAGATCTTGTTCAACAAACAGCTTCTCAATTTGTTTTTGAAAATGTCTTGCCCGGTTTTGTATATTATAATGATTATAATGCTTATTACAATCACGAGACCGGGTATTTTTATTATCCGGTTTGTTTAAATTTTTAAAAAATTGTTTTTTTAACTAGTTGATATTGGGTCTAGAAAAGAAAAATTTATTTTGGGAGGGGATTAGTTTGGAAAAAAATTTCTGGTTAAAAAATGTTTTTGAGTAATTTTTCTAGAAAAATTTCTCTAGTTTGAAAAAAAATTTTCTAATATTTTCTAGGAATCTTCATTATATTTTCATCCTTCCACACAATTATATTATTATTACAATGAACAAACTGAAACTTATGAAATTTATGAAAATAAAGATGAAAATAAATGGACTAAAAATAAATATAAAAAAAGAGCAGCGAATTTATTTGGCGAAAATTTTGTTTTGGTTGTTTTTTTGTTTTTAAATTTTTTAAGGAAAAAATTTTTTTCTAAAGGATGCAAAATTGGAAGATATTTTAGTGACAGAATTAATTTTTGATTTGGTTGATAAATGTTCTTTTCTAGCTGGGGATTATTCAATTAAAGAAACAAAGAAAAGGAAAATGTTTGATGAAGAAGTTTTTGATGAATATGAGGTAGTAAATTTTGAAGAAGAATTTATTTTTTCCAATTTTTTAAGGTTTGTACAAAGCAGACTTATTTTGACCCGACTTTGTCTAGCGATGATGAAATGGATGAAAATACGAGTATTTATTTTGATAGTGAATTGAACAGGAGAATAGATGAAGGTTAGCTTTGATTTTTTTTTGGGACTCTTACTTTCTTCTCGCTCAGATATTCTGATGAACGTGGCTGATAATAAGATTTTTTGTCAGAAAAAAACAATTTTTATTTCCATTAGTAATACCAGTCTTTCTTTTATCGCTTCTTTTCTGACCATTCTTTTTTACTTAATTCAGTATACGCTCTAAACAGATCTCCATCGCTTTACATCCTCCTTCCAAAGAAATTTTTAATTTATCCGTTTTTTCTAACTTAAAAGAAAATTAATTTTAAGAACAAATAGCTTGTAATGCTCCATGTATTCGTTTATTAGAATTTCCTTCAAATAATTTACATATTATAACAATTTTGGGTGCTTCTATTGGCTTTGGATTAAATTCTGATATTAAATTATTAAATTCTCAACAATTTTTTAATAAAGAAATTTTATTTTATATAAATTATTTTGAAGAAGGAAATAATGGAATTTATAAATTAAAATTGGAAATTGACGATATTATTCTAAAATTGAATGAAAAACAAATTAAGGTTTGGGGAGGTTTTTTAATTTACTAATTTATTTTATTTTTTAAAGTTAAATAATGAATATATTATTTGTCACGGTGATCAAATTCAAATAGATAATTCTCATTCTTTACATATACACATTCATCGTGGACTAAATACCTGTCAGGGTTGTGAGCCTGGAATTTTAGTTTCTTCAAATAAAAGGTTTTTAATAGAAAATGTTATTTTTAAATTTACACGATAAGTTGGAGTATTTGTAATTATGGTCATAAATATATAAAAGTATCTACTTCAACCCTATTTAAGAATCCCTGGGTAACGTAACTTCTTAGTGACCAGAGTTCCGTAATTAAATTTATGACCACCACCACACTCTTTAATATTTACAAATCATTTGGTAAGGATCTGCTAAACCTCGGTACACCCCGCTAAACCCAGTAAGATGGTTGTCGTTTTATTTTAGAATTACCAAAATTATTTTTATTTTTTTTAGTTCGGAACAAATAAATACCAAAAAATATTCAAAAAATGTGGAACGTCATCGTCAAACAAAATTACTTAAACAACAATATGGACTATTAGACAACGAGGAAGATTTACAAAATAATAAAGAAAAATATTTGGATAGAGCTAAACAAAGAAGAAAATTAAATTTATTAGAAAATGATAAGAAGGAAATAAATAAAGCTGGGGGAATATATGTTGGTTGTAAAGCTGCACCTGTTCCTGGTATTAATTAAAAATAATTATTAAAAATAATTAAATTAATTTTAAAAATATATTACGTCTAAAAATATTGTTAAAGATATTTTAATTAATTTTCATACTTACTTCCGTCTTCCAACTGGGATGTAAAAATGTTACTCACTTTTTGATTAAACAGACAAAAAACATGAAAATTTATAGTCAAAGCTCCTATGTATAAGCCTACACTTTTGGGAACGAAAAAAATAGTATTTTTTTAAGCTATATTTAATTAGAAAATACCCTTTATGTTGGGCAGCTCCCCACTCATCATAGTCAACTTAAATTGAGTTGTATCTAGAATTTATAGTGAAATTCGACTGTTGTGAATTTTGACTAAAAATACGTCTAAAATTATTTTTATATTCCTTTTTAAATTTATAGGATGTTCAACAGATTCAGTTAATTTTCATTCCACAGTTTCAAGAAATGAAGAAATTTCTGAAAATAATAAAGGATTTAAATTGTTAAAAGGAATGGGTTGGAGTGAAGGACAGGGACTTGGAAAGGCAAATCAAGGAATGAAAGGACCGGTAGAAAAAATTTAAAAAAAAATATTTTTTAATATTTATATTTTTAAAAAGATTGAAACAATAATTAAAAATAATCGGGCAGGATTGGGAATGTTTGTAAAAACGAAAGAAAATGCAAGGGAAAATGTTGCAAATGATAAATTGGTAATTTTGGAGAAAGTACGTCAACGATATGAACAAATTGATAATAAAAAATGAAAATAAATTGACTAAATAAAATTGTATAAAACTTTTTTTTCATCATTTTTGTGATAAACAAAATATAAGATTACGTGTGTTCCAAAATTATAACCTTCCATTTCAAGAGCATCTCTTAATAGAACATCACTTACAAAATCTTGTAAAGAATGTAAGGCTTGCTGAAGTTGAGCAAATTTTTTAAATTTTCTGATTTTTTAAATCGAGAACCGATTTAAAGAATCGGTGTCAGGATTTTGGAAATTTATCTAAAGTTATGTGAAGTTAGATTTTCGGGTTCCTACTTGATTGCTTATTTAGTTAAAATTTGTAAAAAAATTTAGGACGTAGCTGCATCATCGACTCTGAAAGGCTCACAAACGGAGCTATGCTTTTTAGCCTCCAACCTCCATTGCGTTATAGCCCACGCACCTCCATTGCACATTAAAATTAAACCAATTTCTCATTTAACATAATGTGCTACCTCCTGGGCACAACCCCAAAAGGGGTTGCTGTGATTTTATTTGTTTATATTTAGTTATTTGGGTTGTTTTATTTGTTTTTTAGCCCCGCCGTGAAGACAGCCAAAGTCTCTGCAAGTGCTACACTCACTACCACGTCCAGCGATTGGACTGATAAACGAAATAAATATATAGAATGCTTCCATTTTTAAATGTAATTTTCGATGGGTTGCAAACAATAAATAAATATGACGACCTTTTATTTTCACACTAGATGAAATATGTTTCGTATAAATAATTGAAAAGTAATTTTTATTTTTAAAAGAAAATTTGTGTGTCTGCGAAAGCTTTTTATCGGATTATTTTTTAAATAAAATTTTAATAAAAATTTAATTTTAATAGGTCAAAACTTTGTTTGGTAGGGTTTGTTAGAAACTTTTTAAGTGTAAACAAGCTCTCATTAAATTTAAAAAAAGAATTTTATAAATTTATAAAAATTAACGTTTTTATAAAAGAAAAAAAATTAAAAAATTTCTTCACGACAATTTAATTTTAAAATTCTTTTGTTTCTCCATTCTCATTTTCTACAACACAAGAAGGTGAAGAAGAATTGGTGTTAATAGGAGAATGAATTGAATGTGTAGAACGCAGATGGTTACTGAAATTTTTTAAAATAATTATAATTTTATATCAGAAATTCGAGTCGAGGGGTTATTTAACTACAATCACTAAACCATAAAAATATATGTACATTTATTTGCCTTATTTTCTACTAACCCAACCATTTTTGACCTTAAAAGAGATATTCTTCCTTATATTTAATTTAAAGAAATTAATTCTTTCCTCCAATTTTAAAATAAATTGAAATATTTTTATTATTTTATTTCTAACAAAAAGAATTAAAAGACAAACCAAAGTCCTTTTAAATTTAAAGATTTATATCCACAAGAAACACAAATTAAGGGTAAATTTTGTTGTTTCTGTTTTTGTTGTATTAAATTATTTTTTGAAATTGAATTACTAATTTCCTTGTCTTCACTATTATTTGTTGTTGTTGTTAATTGTTGTTGTGTATCAACAGAAGAAATTATTTTTCTGTTTCGACTAAATATTTTATAAAAAATATATAATTTTAAAATCTTTTTTGAAAAATTATTTAGGTATTGCTTTACTACTTCAAAACTTTTATTAAAACAATTTATTGGTCTACTATAACTTTTAAAAAGCTAAGAAACGATTTGTGGTTAAATTAACTCGAATTAATAAACAAACAATAATTAAAGCCTCCCTCTTTTTAATTAGATTTTTGCCTTTGAGCAGAGGGATGGGTATAACTAATTCCCCTTTATTTTTTCTACCCTTTATCAAAAAGTATCCAAACCCCCCAATTTCACCTTTCCCCATTCTTTTTTTTAAATTAATTTAGTAGAAAAGTACCAATAATATTTTCGATGTCCTTCCAACGTTTCCAATGCCAAAAACGACACATCGCCGCATACTAAAAAAATTTGAATTAACAAAAAAAATTTTTTTAACTTTCTTACAATCACAAGGAAATCTCTTTTGTGGCGATGTTTTTATTTTTGTTTTATCATTATTGGCATTTTTAATTGTATATTCATAATTCACATTTTGATAATTATTTGTGTTAATTTTGGAAGTATTGGGTGACGAAAGGGAGGGGGAATTTGTTGGTTTTTGGTTATTCTGTGAAAATAATTTAATTAATTAAATTATAATATTTTTTTAATTAAAGGAAGGTGAAGGGGGTTTAAAATCGAGAAACTGTGCTTAACTCGTTTTTAGATAAATTAAAGGTAAAGAACAGAAAATATAAAGTACCAGAATAGGAAGTTTTATTAATTTTGAACGGAAAATGGAGTTGAAAATTTTATATAAAAATTTTATTTAAAACAATGAGATTTAGAGAAGAATTTAATTTTATAAATTAGTGTGGAGAATAACACACTATAACCAATTTAATACACCATATTTCTTAAAATTAATTCCTCGTCCCCAAAAATTAGTTTAAAAATAATAATTGGAATTAATTGAGAAAATATTAAAATTAAGTTCTTCCCAAAATCTTTCAGCTATTATTTAAAAAAAGGCGCCTGGTCAATAACAGTAAACAATGGATAACTTTCAGAGACCTCAAGACAACTCTACGGGGGCTTTTAATTTTTCTGTATGAAACACAAAATAAAAGCTAACAAAAATAATTAATTCTTTTTTTGATTTTTTTGAAGTAATTTCATTTTTATTTGAATCTTTAAAAGATTGTTGAAGTAATATTGTTGCTGTAGATGCTCTTTTTCTTAAATATTGTTTTTGTTGTTTATTATTAGTAGATATTGATAAATCTAAAGGTTCAATTCCAGAATTATTTATTGAAGAATTGTTGTTATTAAAAGTTGAAGGAGAAGTTGAGGAGGAGGAGGAGGTTATTAAATAATTATTGTTGTCTTCTGTTTGGCAACTTTAAAAGAAAATAAAAAAAATATTTTTATGTGCTAAATATTCTTCAAAATAGAGAACGGAATTTTGTTACGTGCCGTATTCCGTACAGTAATATATCGAGAAATGCTGAAAAATGCCGTCGATAGTAAGGTACTGTCAGAGTTTTACTCTAAACTAGAGTGCGACCTTTCGGGCCGGGGAAAAATTTTACGGGGAACCGCAGGGACCCTGCTCCGAGGAATGGGGGTCGAACCCTACTCTAAACCTAAATAGAGGAAATATTTTTTCCAAACCCCCTAAAAAATGTAAAAATTCGATTCTTTATTACCGACATAATTTAAAAAAATATTTTCTCTTGAGAGAATTTTTTATGATAATTAAATTAACCTTTTATAATTAAACTTTTAATTAAATAAAAAACATTTCCTTCCTTTCCTTACCTAACATCAATAAAATTATTTATTTTTTGTTCTTTTATTTGTTGTTTATTAATTGTTTTATTTATAGCAATAGGTAAATGACACAATAAATTTTGTTTTTGATTACAACAATTTTTAAATAAAATTTTTGAAGAAATTTTTGATTCCAAAATTACGGGATTTATAGGGAAATTATTTAAAACATTTGAATGGACGGCTATTGGAAGTATTGTTTGTGGTGAGCCTAATAACTGGAATTGAAAAATGAAAGAGAATTATCTTCTAATTAATTTACTTGAATATGTTTCTCATCTGGCAATGAATGACAACCAACGGGTAAAAGAATTATATTATTTGGTGGATGAAATGTTTGTAATGGATCTTCAACTATTAAAATTATATTGTTTTTATTTATTTTGAGAGAAATATAGAGAGAAATATATTTAGTAGAGTTTCACCGGAAGTTCTGGTTCCGGCCGGAACCAGAAAAAGTTCCGGTTTCGGGATCCAGAACTCAGATTGGATTCGGTTCCGGTCAAAATATCGGTTCCGATGAAACACTTTTTTAGAGAGAAACTAAAAATTCAAGGGTACAAAAATAAAAATTAACAAAAAAAACATCTGTTAGATATTACAAACATGTGGATATATTTTAATTTTAATTAAATTTTTAAATTTAGCTGGAGACTTTAGGAGGAGAACTGAATACTCTAATTTTTAAATAATTTTTTTTCAGCCTTAAAAGAGAGCGGGTATCTAAATATTACCTTTAGTATTGTTGTTAGTAAATAAAGAATTATTATTATTAAATTCATTATTATTTATTTGTTGCCCATTATTAGGTAATTTAAGAGAATTTTTAAAATTATTTTGTTGTTGTTGGAAATGTTTAATTAATAAAGAATTTAATAAATTTAAATTTAATTGTTCTTCAATTGGATTTGGTGTTGGTGGAAGTAAAGGAATATTTGTTGAATTTAAATGAAAAATATATGGAGAAGGTGGTGGGGGTGGTAGGAAAATTAAATTGGATGGTTGTTGATTAGTGGGGGAAGTAGAAGACATTCTCTGAAATTTAAATAAGAAAGTTAAACATTTTTAATAAATTAAATTTAGAGGGAGAGTCAAAAAGTAAGTCAAATCAGGATATCTTTAAGGAATGAATGAATCGACGTTTAAGGGGGATAAGTGAGTGTGTGTATCATGTCAAAAGCATTTAAACTTTTTTGGAGGAAATAAACAAAAAGAAAAATTTTCTGCAGAAAATTTTTTTAATCAATTTTTTTAATCAAAATAAATATTTAATTGCAAGTTTTGCAATATTTAATATTAAAATTTAATATTTAAAATATCAAAATTTAATCCAGTTTTGCTTCAATTAAGAAAAAAACTGAACGAAATTATTTATTTAAAATAATCAACAAATACACATTAATTCTCTTATCATTTAACTTTTAAATTCTCGGCAATCCTTTCCTGACGAAGAAATTTACAAAAAAATCTTTGATGACACCTTTAATTTTTCTTTTATCAGTTTTCTAAAAATATATTTAAATAAATAATTTCTCTTTTATCAATTCCTTATCACCAAAAATATTCCAAAATTTTTGTTTAGAATGTCCTCTAAATGTTTAGAAATTGGCCAGTTTTGTTGTTATCTGTGTTTGATTAAATTGAAAAAAAAAGAATTTTCCTATTTAGTTTCAATGGCCAAAGAAACAAACCCCTCTCTAAAATTTGTAAAAAAGTTATTGTGTCATTTTGATAAGAAAAGAAAATAATTTTTTATAATTACACGTTAAATAAATATATTTTTTAATTAAAAATGACATGCTTAATTAATTAATTAATTAATAGAAAAGTGGAAAAAAGAATTTTTTAATTATTCACTTAGATATAGTGGGTAATGATTAAGTATTTAGTGTTTAATTATATTGAAAAATAATAATTGAAACAGATGCCCAAACAAAATATGGAGAGATGGAAAATATATGTGTGGATACCAGGGCTGGAGAATTTTGGATTTTAAAAAGCAAAAGGCGGAATGACCAAAAAAGACGGAATTTGGCGGAAGACGGACGCTGAAAATTATCCAGCTCTAGTGGAAATATATTTTATTAGAATTCTAAAAATCCTTCCTTCTCAAAAAAATAATTTAGTCTTTAACTAAATTATAACAAAATATTTAATCATTTTGATTAATCTTCCAAAGACAATCAAATTCTTCCTTTTTCTAAAAAATCTAATCTCTTTTTTCCACCTTTTCCATATTTTCTTCTTCTTCTTCTCGCTTTCAATCATTTAAAAACTCTGATGTAAAAAAGATAAGCAGCGCCAGTCCTATTACTTAATATTTCTCCCCTTTCTAACAGAAAGTGCCAGTAATGGTAAAAGATGGGGACGTAGATAGGGAGGAAGAGAATGGAAATGATTGAAAAGAAAATTTGGAGGAAATAATTTTTAAAAATAAAATTTGGAAGAATTTTTGGAGGAGATTTATTTAAAATTTGGAAATTATTTTTGTGTTAAAGATTAATTTAATTATAATTCCTTTATTAGTGAATTGTTACTTCAATAAATAAAAAATATCATGATTAAAAAATTTTTATGGAAAGATTGGATCAGTAAATATATTCTTTTTGATTAAATAATCTCTCTCCTTAATAGTTTTTTGACTTAAATAACGATAATAAAAGAAAATAAAAAAAGATTAAACAAAATCTTTTGCATAATCTACATATAAAATACAAAATTAAATTAAAATTATGTTTGGATAAAAATATTAGATATATAAATAGTAAATTCACGTTGAGAGGCAAAATATATATATTTATAATATTTGTTACAAAAAAGATATAAAAAGGAGATAAAAGTATGTGAACGGAATTAACTCAAAGATTGCCTGGACAGATTAAAATAAATAAATTAAAGAGTTATTTTTAAAAAAATTAATATAAATTTAATTAATTAAAAATTGAAAATAAAATTTTGACAATAAACATTTGATAAATTTTATTGGGGTTTTGGAAAAAGTTCGCACCTCCTCGAATGGGATTTTCTCACATTTCCGAACGAGTGATTGTCGGAGTGACTCCAAACTTTTGGGTATTAAGCACAGACCCTTGCCTATAAGATAGATCAAAAATAGTAATCCTTGGATTAAACCAGGGCTTCGATTTCTGCGGATTTTTCCTCATTTTGTGGTTTTTTGATAGGGCGATGAGGATTATTTTTAAAAATGCGGATTTGCGGATTTTTGTGGTCTTTTGAAGAATATGAGGATTTTTTATATTTTTCTGTAGTTTTTATGATAAAATGCCATTATTTTCTGCGAAGACCTTCCAAAATCCTCAAAATTTTCGCCTGCGGCGCTGAAAATATAAGAAATCTGGCTTCTGGCCTTCCAAAATCCTCAAAATTTTTGCCTGCGGCGCTTAAAATGTAAGAAATAAAAATTTTTGGTGTCTTCGGCGGCAAAAATTCAACTGTAATTGTCCAGATAATTGTTCGGATTTCTATAAGATTATCATTAGTAATAAAAAATTGCATAATTCAATTGTTGGAGTCAAAAAATATAAAATATAAAGTGATTTTACTTCAAATTTTGTGTTTGATAATTTTTTGCGGATTTTTCATATCAAATGCGGATTTTTTCGATCGAAATTGCGGATTTTTAAAAATTCGAGATCGAAGCCCTGGATTAAACTCCGGAGAGCTTATATAAACGAGTAGTCCTAACGAAAAAGGAATGGAATCGAGCTTTTGTGTTACATGTTACAAAAAAATTCTTTTATTGTTTTAAGAAATTTTTTTGTAGAAGTTTAGATAAAAAAAAGAAGATTTTTTAAATTTCTGACAGAATACAATAAACAAACATAAATGTCAACAGAAAAATTCCCAAAAAAATTTACAAAACAAAATTTATGAATTTAAAAGCTAAAAGAACATTTAAACTTTTTATCATCTCTAACCATTATTTATAGTTTACAACCCATCGAAAATTTACATTAAAAAATACAAGCATTCTATATAAACTTGGATTTAACAGCCGTTTCTCGTTGGACACGGCGGTGCATGGGAGCATTTGCAGAGACTTTGGCTGTCTCACGGCGGGACTAAAATCACAACAACAACAGCAACAACAACAACAAAATAAACAATTCATTACCAACCTTTCATGGTTGTGCCCTGGAGAAATTAGCACATTTGAGTTAAATGAGAAATTGGTTTAATTTAAATGTTGCTAGTGGAGGTGCGTGGGCTAAAACGCAATGGAGGTTGGAGGAATAAAAATAAATCCTGCTTGTGAGCCCTTTCAGAGTCGATGATGCAGCCGGGTCCTAAATTTTTTTTGACAATCAAAAAAGAATCTCTCCTTAAACTTTTTGTTTCAAAACTTGAAAATCGAGAATATTTACATACTATAATCGAAATAGATAATTTGTTTATATAAAAAGGAAATACTGACGATTGAAGTTTAATTACAAAAGGTTAGAGAATTTAATTAAAATCTAATAAAATTGAAAAATATTTTTTGCAAAATTTACACAAACTCAAATAAACTCATATAAATTTGTCAATGCTAAAAATAAGAGTATAAAATCGAGACTAGCAAAGTAGAGAGAGAAAAATAAATAAAAGAAGTAAAAGGGGGAATAACAAGAAAAAAGAGAAAAACAAATAAACAAACACAAAATAATCTAAACACTTTATTTACATCCCATCGAAAAAAATAGAAAATAATTTCCTCTCATTATATATTGAAAAGATTTTTTAAGCAGTTATGGATGTGGTGTGCTTTCGGTAGGCACATGTGGAGGCTGAGGCCGGCTCTCAGCGGGACAGCCGATGCTGAAGGCTTTAACCAAAATAACAATTAACGCTCAAAGCAGAAGCAAAACCAATCAAACCAAACAAATAAAACACTAAACACAAAACAAACAAATACAAGTACCAATCGTGCCCTGGAGTATAACGCATGCCTTAACGGGTAATGTGTTTGAGTGGAGGTTGCGCGGGGCCTAAATACGCGCAGTGGAGGAAGGAGGCAACAGTCCCGCTTGTGTAGTTGATTCACAGTCGTTGATGCAGCCACATCCGCAAATTTTTTAACCAAGCTCTGTTGTATGATATGGTTGAGTGGTTAAATTGCCAAGTAGAGGAGGATGAGTTTTCCTTATAAAATTTTTTGCAAAATTTATAGAAGCCCTATAAAATAGGGCTTTTCAAGCAGTAGACTAAAGCAGTTCGACTTTAAACAAAATAATAAAATTTATCAAACAAATTTATAAAATTTGTATAATTTTTTAAAGATTAAAATATTTTTAAATAAAATTGTTTCTCCAAAATGATAACCTCCAATAATTTAAATAACCTCAAAACTTGTTTAATTCTCAACAGTATTTGTAAACATTTCAGCCATCGCGCGTGTAGCCGCCCCTGTAAACATCATTCCCAGCATTATCGTCCCCATTGTTTCTTAAAATTTTTTTAAAATATTTTTTTAGTTATTTTTAACTTTTTATTGGAAAAGAATAGATTAGGAATCGAAACTTTATAAAAAATACCGAAAAAAATCTAAAAAAAATTTACCAAAATCAGAATCGTCAGAATCAGATGTACTACTATCAGAATCATCTTCATCATTAGAATCTTCATAAAATTCCTCAAGCACAGAATTCTTTGAAATATCAAAAATAAAAGGTTTAATCTCCAAATTATTTCCAAAATTTGTTTCGACAGAACAACGACCTAAAAGAAGAGACGGCACAGATTCATCATTCTTTCGACCTTTCATCAATATTCCTTTACCTTTAAAAAAATAATTTTTAATTAACAAATTTTCCCAAACCAATTTGTTTTCCATTTTGAGTAAAGAAAACAAAAGGGAATTTGTCCCTTCTATTAATTGGTGGATATACTACTCCACATCCATAAACATCCCCATCATTCCAACAAAATGTTTCTGGAAGATTAATTCCCTTCTTTTTATTTTTGTGTTTGTAAACAATAGAAGCCGCCAATTTGTTTCTAATTGGTTTTCCAACACACAACAAAACATCATCATTTCCACAATTTTTAATTCCAACACACAAAATATTTTTATTTTCTTCTTCCTCAATTTTGCCTTTAACTTCATAATAAAACAAAGAATAATTATTTTTTTCTTTTGGATTTTTAAATTCATTTTCGGCAAAAACAAAAACAGATTTATCTTCCCCTACAAAATAAAGGTACTTATCGGTTATTCGCCCACAAACTGAGTGCCAGCCAAATTTAATTGGATCTGATGCTTGATCCAATTCAAATAAATCTTATATCATTCGAAAGCCCTTGATGAACGTTACCTTTTTCTATAGCAAAGATCATGTATGATCACTCATTTAAAAGTTATAACACAATAAGTCCAGTTATTTGGTGTTTTTCACAGTTATCGGGTTATAACTTTTTAACGAGTGATCAGAATTGATCCATTAAGTTGGAAAAAAGATTCCTCTTATCGAGGGCTTTCGAACGATATGAGATTTATTTGAATTGGGTTAAGCAACAAAAGCACTCAGTTTGTGGGCGTATAACCAATAAGTACCAAATAAATTTAAAATTAAATCCCTTTCTTCTTCGAAGAAAAACAAACCTTTCCCCAAAATATATTTAATATTTCCATCTCCAATTAAATTAACAAATTCATTTTCTTCAATACAAATACCAGCAGGCACACTATTTTTATCGGCATTTTCACAACTATTAGACGTTAAACTCCATTTATTCTTGACTTGAACAAAATTCTAAAGAAAATTATTTAAAAAATGTAAGTTAAATTTTAAACTAACCACTCCAATATTGCCAAAGTTTTTAATTTCAGATGTCGATTCCCCACTCTTTTGTTTTTCAATCGTTTTAATTTCGTTAATTTTCTCATCCATTAATTGTTGAAAATATTCTTTTAAATTTTTAATTTCATTTTCTTGCTCAGATTTGACTTTTTGGATTTCCTGAAAATAATTTAAAAACAAAATTTTTTGAAGGAAATTGTAAATTACAAAATACCTCATTCATTTTCTTCTCAAAAATTTCCATTTCCTTCTTATTTTTACTTTCAAATAATTTCTTCTCTTTTTCATTCTTCTCTTTTTCCTCATTAAATTCAATTTCAAAATTATTAAGTTTTGTTTGAAGATTCTTCACAATTTCCCCCTCACTTTCCTTAATTAAAATATAAAATTTATTTTTAATTATTCTTTTAAATTTACATTTGGGCCCAAATCAGAACTTGATGATCCTTTTTCAGTCATTTTATGTAGATAAATATTTAAATTTCTCTAAAAATATATCTAAAAATTTATTTAAAACAATTAAAATTAACAAAAATTAAATCTAAACATTTTTGGGAAATTTTGGGCTTTTTGGCATTTAATTAAAAACTTTTGAGTAAATTTCAAAATGGTAACACCCCAAAAAATGTTAAAAATACCAACTCCCTAAATAAAAATTAACTTTGTTTCTGGATTTTCAATTGTTTATTGAATCAAATCCGGATTTTGTATATCCGACTCGTTCCATTTTTTTAATAAAAATTTTAAAAATTCTTTTTTTATTTTCTTTCTGTTCAATTTATTATTTCTTTATTTGCATGCTTTTTCTCTTTTATTTTATTTTTCATTCAATAATATTTTTGCCAAAACATTTAAGCTTATTTCATGTTCTTTAGAGTCTCTTTAACTACTTTTAATTTTTAAAGAACAGCTGACTTTTTAAAATATATTTATTGTTCTTTTCCTTTGTGTCTTCCTTTAAATTTGATGTCGTCTGTTGGCCATAAAAAACGAACTTTTAAAGGGTTGGTAGAGACTTTGAAATAAAGGAAGGTTTTTAATTTAAATAAAAAATTGTCTCTCTTTATAATGAAGAAATACCCTTATCAAGTAACGGGGTGTTATTTCCAGTAATATTTTTTGGATATCCCTTGGGTTGAATTTAAAAATATTAATTTTAAATACCTTATTTCCTCTAATTGGAGCATTCTATTTTTAAATTATTCTCTAACGGGGCATCTTATTAGAAAGGGGAATTCAATTGAAGGGGGGGTATTGTATTAGAGGAAGGAATACGGTAGTTTAAAACCTTTAATTTAAAAACCATTTAAGACTCCAATATCCCCTCTTCTAATCCAACTGAACCAACAAGGCGCTAATGAAGCCAGCTTATTTTAACGTTGTAAAACATTTTTCTTTTTTTTTATTTTCTGGCAGCAAATTGACAAAATATTATCGAACAAAAAATATTTAAAAGAATGTGAATTATTTTGATAAAAAATTGAAAATTCTTTTTTTATCAAATACTCTCTGGATTATTTAAAATAATTTATATGTTAATAAAAAAGAGGAAAGAAATTAATTTTAACAACTAAAACGACAGAATTTTATTTAAAAAAAAAATAAATTTTTCTTAAAAACTTATGACAACAAGAAGTAGCAGTTTGGGAATTAAAGATGTTGAATTACTTGGAGGTGACCAAACAATTGGGGATGAGGAGGTGTTTTTATTTTTTTTTTAAAAATTTTTGGTTAAAAACATGCTGGGAATACTTTTTTTGGAATTAAAGTTTAAATATTCAAAAAATAAATTTCCCACTAACAATTTGTATGGTCTTTTAGGCGCGGGCGATTTGTCGCGCCCTTTTTGGAACTGAAATATTTAGAAAATATTAATTATTAAATTATTAACTACTCTCAGAATTTTTTTATTTCTTAAATTTTAGGTGAACCCCAACTAAAATCCTCCATTCCCCAGAAAATTAATCATTTATGCGGATAATTGTCCATAAACGAGATTATCTTATAAATCCGCGCCGTAACTGCTCTGCGTCCAAATATCCCAATCTCTTTTCAACTTTTTCTCAAAGGCCACCAACTGCGATTATTTATTTATTAAAAATAAATATTTTCTATCAATAATTTTTTGTCTCTTTTTTTTTATTCTTCTATCAATTCTCTAATATTCATAAAAATTGTCCCTTTAATATTTTATTGATGGCCTTTGATTTAATATTTTTTTGAAGAAGAAGTGTTCTTTTTCTCTCCCCTAATTTGCTTTTAAAGGAAGGAAAAGAAAACCTTTTTATTTTATTTTTTTATTTGTACAAGATTAAATAAATAAATAAAATATTTTCTTTGATATTTTTTACTTCCTTTTTTAATTTTATTTTAAATATTTTTTTATAAAAATTTTGTTTTTTTAAACTAAAAAATTTCCTGTTTGTTGCTATCTTTTAATTATGTATTTTATAATCGCACTGAGACATCCAGTCTTAAAATATTTTTTAGTTTAATTAAAGTAGGAATAATCCTATAGACAAAAAAATTTTTTAAAATTCTTTAACATCTAACCTCAAGAGAAAATCTGAAAAAATGTTCTTTTTTTGACAATTTTTGAAAAATAGGGACCCATTCTGAATTAGAGCCCCGTGTGGCATTACATGAAATACTGTAAATTTTTAGTAGAGTTCGAACCCGGGCCGGGCCCGGACCGGTTTTTTCCGGGCCCGGTGGCCCGGAACCGGGTATTTTTGAGAAAATCCGGTTTTTCCGGGCTAACCGGTTTTTCCGGTTTTACCCGGAAAAACCGGCCCGGGTGCGATTTTGAGTAAAAAAACCGGGTCCCGGGCCCGGCATTTTGAAAAGTTCGAACTCTAATTTTTAGTTCCCTTCTACAAACAAATAAATAAAGTTTTTTATTCAAAATTCACAGGGTGATTGTTTTTCATATTTTTTGCCTCAATTTTTTAAATCTTTTTTCCTTTTAATTTTTCACTAAATATTTCCCCATTCATTCTTCTCTCTCTTTTAAAAATTTTTCCTTCCTTTTCTCTCAAAAATTTTTTTGTCGATCTCCCTTCCCCTTTTTATAAAAATGAAAATACAAAAATTAAATTCATCACCAACATCTCAATTATTATTATTTTCCTTAAAGGATTCTTCAATCGGCGGTCATCAAGAACGTAATTGGCGGGGAATTATTACAGCATTACTAGTTATTGCAATTATGTGTTCATTAATTGCTTTGGCTGTTCTTGTTCTTTCGCCTCGTATGTTTTTTTTTGTTTTTTTGTAGAAAGGTGGAGGGAAGGTGTTTGGAAAATTTATAGAAATGAGAGACTACAGTTTTTAGGTAACCAGGGGTAGAGGGGGACCCCTCCCCCCCCCCTCCCGAAATTGGAAAAGGGAAAAATTTGGAGAGGGTGTGGCAAAAAAGTGGATTTTTGGCATACGGCCTTCCAAATTTTTCAAAAATTTCCCCCCTTGCCCCCCCCCCCAAATCTTGGTTACGGGCCTGGGTGTAAAAGTTTTCGCCGAAGCCTTGTAAGGGGAAGGAACATGTTTCTCCCTCGGAATTCCCTATCTAATCTTAATCATTTAAATAGTTTCTAAAATTCATTTTTAAAGCTTTAATCGACGCAGACCAACCCCAACAGAGAATTTCATTATCGGATGTTCTCTCGCTTCGATTTCTCAGTTTTGTTGAATCTCTTGAATGGATTGACAGCAAAAGATTGTTAGTTAAATATACAGAAGGAATTAAAATATTGGAATTAATTGATGAAGAAACAACAAAATGGGAATGGAAAAATTTAGAAGGAGATTTGGTCGGTAAGAGAAATGGAAGAAGAAAAATTAATTTTAAAAAAATTGGGAAGTGGGGATTTTAGGGTTTTACTATAAAGCAGTATAGAGAAATACCTGTTATTAATTTTGTGGTGTAGGGGTTTAGGTGTTATTTTGCCTAAGTAATTTCTGTATGGTTCGATTCCTTTTGGAGTAATTTATTTTTTTATTCATTTCTTTTTGGTGTTAAAATGCCCGAAGTGTTTCAAAGCTTAAAATTACTCTTGAAATTTTTTTTATTTTTTTGAAGTTTCGCTATGGAAAGCCCAATTCTGTTGACGTGTCGTCGGATGCTCGGTATTTAATTTTTCATTATTATATCGGTAAACGTTCTTCTAAAACCAGCACTTTTCGAGTTTATGACACAAAAACGGAGTAAGTTTAATAATTTAATTAATTTTATAATCTTTAATTTTAAGGACTTTCGAAAATGTTGGACCTGAAAAGAGTGGAGACGAAAATGTTAAAGTTGTGGCTTGGAATCCAAAGGGAAATGATTTTGTTTGTTTTTTTCTTTTTTTAATTTTTATTTATTTTTTTAATATTTAATCCCAACTCTCATACTCACTTCTCCCAAAAAGACCCAAACTTTTTATTTTCATCTTTAAATAGGCTTATGTCTACAACAATAATGTCTTCTATCAATCTGACCCTTTGACTCTTAAAAGTCAACAAATTACTAATGACTCTTCTGAAGATATTTTGAATGGAGTAGCTGATTGGTTATATGAAGAAGAAATTTTACAAACTTCTCAAGCTTTGTGGTGGTCAAAAGATGGAAAATTCTTGGCATTTTTAACAATTGACAATAGAGAAGTGCCTCATGTGCCTATTATGCATTTTGCACGTAAATAGTTTTTTTAATTTAAAAGGGGGTTTAGTAAATTTTTTTAGATCATCAATATCCAAAAGTTGCAAAACAGCCTTATCCCAAAGTTGATGAAAAACATTTACCTCAAATTTGGTTGAGTATTTGGAATAAAGAGGATGGGACATTGAAGAAAATAAATGTTGAAGGAATTCCTGAAAGGTGAGGGAAATTTTTATAAATTTTTTTAGTTAAAGGAATTGTGGTAGTTATTGACATTAAATTGAGAGATATTTTTACTTTTTTGGAAATTTTTTAAAGAAAAATTAGAATTTTATAAATAATTGCTTGTTAAAATCTTTTCTTTTCAGTTCCCGTATTTATTTATTTTCTGCTCAATGGGTTGAATTATATGGACAACAAATTTTAATTGCTGTTTGGGCAAATAGATATCAAAATCAAGTTTGTTTATTTTATTTTTAATTTATTTATTTTTCTTTCTTTTTTTTAAGATAATTTTCTCTTTATGTTCATTTAATTCATCAAAATGTTTACCTAATTTAATCCAAAAATTCACTTTTGATAATTTAAATTATGGAAAAATTCCTTCATTTAATGGCCCAGAAGCTTCTCAAAATTTAAAAATTGACACAAATTCAAATTTAATTTTAAATCTTTGGGCAGAGCCAGAGGACAGTAAAGTACGTTTTTATTCATCAGATGCTTTCTATACTTTATTGCCACATCGAAAACCTTCAAATAATGGAGAAAATGTTTATACTCATTTGGTTTGAGAGTTATTTATTTTGAAAAAATTTTTTAAAATTATTTTAGGCGTGTATTAATGTTTCTCATGGATTGGAACGTGGGCGTGAAAGTAAGAAAAAATATTCTCTTAATTAGAGAACTAAATAGGATTAGTGGATCTGGTGAAAAAAAGTCCGGAGATTTCCCAGGATCCTCCAACTCCAGTCAAAACCGTTAACTCAGAAAGTGTTTTTCTTCAGAATTACAAATTCTTTTACATCATTAAAAGCGTTTATTTCTTTTAATCAATTTACAGCTTTTCTTCCGTCTGGAAATTTTGATGTTGAAAAAATTAATTTTTTGAGCCATGAACGTCAAAAAATGTTTTTTTTTTCAATTTTTTTTATTTTAAAATTTATATTTTTAGTTATTTTACTGCAGCAGCACCATTGCCTTCACAAAGACATCTTTATGTAATTCCTTCATTTCCTGTATGTTTTTTCAAATTTTCTCTCAAAAATAATTTTTTAAAGGATTCTCATTCAATCGACCCAATATGTTTAACTTGTAATATTTCAATTAATTGTACTTTCCATGAAAGCCATTTTTCACCAATTGATAAGAACAACAACAATTTCTCTACACAATTTGTATCTTTAAATTGTAAAGGCCCCGGACCTCCCCATTTTTTAATTGCAAAATTAAATTCTGATGGAAATAAATTGGAAAAGGGTAAATTTGGTTCTATTTTAAGTTTTAAATTAAATTTTCTATTTTATAACTCTCTTTTTAAATTTAAAGAAATTTTATTTGAAAATTAATTTCCTCTTTTATACAACTCGGAAAGATAAAAAGGAATAAGATTTACATTGACTCTTCCTTTTTTTGTTTATATACGTATTTTAAAAAACATATTAACTATAAAAATATTTACAAAATACGAAAAAAAGATTTTTAATGTAAGGAAAAGGAATTCATTTTTTAGCAGAATTATTTTTTATTTTATTTAAAAAAGGGTTTTAATTATTAATTATAGTACTGGATTTTGGCCGAAATGAAGCACTTGAACAAGCATTACATGCATATAGACTTCCAAGTGTCCACTTTGCTAATATAAAATTAAAGAATGGAATTGGTTTGTTTATTTAATTTTTATTTTTTAAAAATATTTTTTAGAATCACTTGTAAAGATTTTGGTTCCTTACGGTGTTTCTTTGGAGGAGAAAAGACCAGAAAAGAGATATCCTGTTTTAATTGATGTTTGTTTTTTTGAGAAATATTTTAAATTTTTATTTAAAAATATGTAGGTTTATGCTGGACCGGGAACACAAAAAGTTACCGAGGAATGGCTTTCTGCAAATATGTTTGATGTATTTTTTGCTTCTTCTTTGGTTAGTATTTAACTATATTTGATAAATTCTTTGTAAGTAGAGATGCCCAAATAGGTTTAAGAGCTGTGAGATGTTGTAGGCACTACTTTTTTATTATCCAATTCTCGATTGGTTTTTCTTTGAGTTATCAACTTTTCTAAAAATTCAATTTAGCTCTCTTCACAGATACTTTTTCTCGACAGATATAATTCCACATCCTAACTAAGTATTTATCTGAACAATCCAATGTTTAAACCTTCCTTTTCTATGTTTCAATTACCTAAAAATTTCCAATTAATTCAAAAAAATATTTTTTTACTTTTTAGGATTATGTTGTTGTATTTATTGATGGACGTGGCTCTGGGCATCAAGGCTGGAGAATGAAGCAGCCACTTTATGGAAATTTTGGAACTGTTGAAATTGACGATCAAATTGACACAATGAGGTTTTTAAATTTTTTGAAAGTTTATTTTTAAAAACTTTTTCAATTAAAGAGAATTGCTTAGACTTTATCCAATTTTGGATTCAAAACGTGTTGGAATTTGGGGATGGGTATTTTTAACAATACTATAATTTTAAAATATTTTTATTTTTAAGTCTTATGGAGGTTTTGCTGCTGCCCGAGCTGTTCAACGAGATCATTCTTCAAATAGGACATTTCAATGTGCGGCTAGTGTTGCGCCTGTTTCTAATTTTAAATATTATGGTTAGTTTTTTTTACTTTTAAATATAAATTTATTTTTAAAGATGCAACATACGCAGAAAGATATATGGGGGAAGTTGGTGCTGATGCTTATGAAAGGACAGATTTGACACAGGTTAAATTGAATATAAAAATGAGTGAAGTGGGTGAGATTTTGGAAATTTTTTTGAGTAAATATATTTAATAATTTTGCTAACAAAGTTTTCCCTTTATAAAAATTTTTTGGGGGGAAGTTGGATATTTTTACTTTTAACAATAAGTCTTGTGGAGGGAAATTTATTTAACAAAAAAATTTCCTTTTTGGAAGTTTATTTGATAGCAACAAAAAGAGTTAAGTGTTTACTTTTTTTCACATCGTGGGCTTTTTTTTAATTTCTATTTTTGAATGCACATAATGAGTCAGTTTATTTGTAGTAAATTTATTTTCTAAAAGGATGTAAGACCATTCCACAATGTTTCATTTATGCTTGCTCATGGTTCTGCTGATGGTGAGTAATTTTTTAAAATTTTATTAAACATATAATGTTTTACAGATAATGTTCACTATCAAAACACGGCAGAATTTGTGAGGGCTTTAACTGAAGAAAATGTTCAATTTGAATTGATGGTTAAAAAATAATTTTTTTTTAAATTTTTTATAAAAATTATTTTAAGGTATATACTGATGATTCTCACAATTTAAGTACAGTCCGGTGGCATTTATATACAATGATTGTGCAATTTTTGAAAAAATGCTTTAATGGAAGTAAAATTTGAATTGTTTTTGGGAAAACTTTTAAAAAGAAAAAAGATATATATTTTTATTTTTTTGGCAAGTAAATTTACTAAATAATTATTTTTGATTTTCCTATGTATTTTCCTTTTCCAAATTTGAAAGTATTTACTTGCCAGAGACTTTTTGACTCCTACTTACTTTAATTAATGTGCTAATGACAGTTTTTGGAATATGATCGGTATTTTTTAATTTTTAATTCATCTCCAAAAACTGTCTAGTACGATCTCTCTTTATTTTCCAAGCTTTTGTTAATTTTTAGGATCTTTTAGAGAAAATATATTTTTATGTATATGTATGAGACCTTTCTTTTGACTTTGCATTTGTTGACTTAAAAAACATTTATTTTTTTAAATAAAGAATTAATTCTAATTTTAAAAGATTTTAACAGATTTGATTATTTATTTATTTTAAAAAAAGATCATTTAATGAGGACAATTAACTTTTAGGAGGAAAAATTAAAAAAACAACAATATATTTGAGGACTAGGTCTCTGTCATTTTTCCTAAATTTTAATAAAGCACACAAAAAACTAAAAAAAGGGAGAGAGGTGTTTCACTCGAAAAAATAGGAGAGAGGTGGGAAGGAAGAATTTAAAAAAGGCGAAAATATAAAAAAAGGATTTAAACTATTATCCAGTTTATTTTGAATTTTTAGAGAAATTTTAAAGTCTCTTTAAAGAGATTTTTTGTCTTCAAAAACTGGATAAAACAATTAAAGAGTATCTAAAGCATTAAAAGAAAACAAATTATAAATAGGTATATAAACAGAGTTGTAATTTTTTGTTTAAAACATTTCTTCGATTAATTATAAAAAAAATCTTTTTTGGAAATTAGGATTTTTGGTTTTATGTTTGATCCGTGAACTATGAGTTGAAAAAACTTTTTGTTTGTAAAACAGATATGGCCCACAAAAATTAAACATTTTCTGTTTATCCCCATTAATTCCCACTTTCATATCCATTTATTATTTTCAGTTTTTCTATTCCCCTACCTTCATAAAAATATTTTACATAATTAGTAAATTCCTCAAAATTACAACTCTCTTATATATTTTATAATTTTTTGTCGTTGATTATTATATAATGCCTTATTAAAAATTAATTTTTAAAAATTATTTCTTTTTTTCAACTAACTTCTCTCTCTCTGGGCCCTTTTTACCTCTTCTTTTATTTTTAAAGTCAATCCATATTAACTATTCTTGCACAAATATCTGCAGTAAAAGATTGACAAGTTCCTTTACCTCCCAAATCCCCAGTTTTTTGATTTCCCGTTGCAATAGCATCAAAACAAGCCTAAAAATATTTAAAAAATATTTTAATTAAAAAAACCTTTTCAATTTTATTTGCATATGATTCTAAACCCATATAACGAAGCATCATTATACCCGAAAGAAGTAATGCTGTTGGATTAGCTTTGTTTTTACCGGCAATGTCTGGTGCTGTTCCGTGAACACCTTTTAGAGAAAAGTTAATTTTAAGTTCAGAGGAAATGTAAAAAGAATTTATTTTAAAAGAAAACTTTTAAAAAATAACAACAAAACAAACAAACTTTCAAAAACAGCAACATTTTCACCAATATTACCAGAAGGAGTAACTCCAAGCCCCCCAATTAAACCAGCACATAAATCAGAAAGAATATCGCCATAAAGGTTTGGCATTACCTTTAAATTAAAAAAAATAGATTTAAATGAAAAAATTTAAACAAACCAAAACATCGTATTGATTTGGATTTTGTACCATATTTAGACAAACTGTATCCAAATAAGCTTCTTTAAACTAAAAAACTAATTTTACCTAAAACCTTCAAAAATTAAAAAAATACTTGAATGTCTGGAAAATCTTTAGATGCCTCTCTACACATTTTCAAAAATAAACCATCCGACATTCTTTAATAATTTTATTTAAAAATTCAAAGAAGAAAACCTCATAATATTAGCTTTATGCACAGCAGTAACCAATTTTCGTCCATTATTTCGAGCATATTCAAAAGAAAAACGAGCAATTCGGCGAGAAGCTTCTTCTGTTATTAATTTAATGCATTGAATAATAGAACCAGGAATTATCTAAATTTGATAACATTTTGTAGAAAAAATTTTAAAAATTGAAAATTAAATTGTAAAAGAATGGCAATGCTAATTTAAATAATTTGAAATAAATGGACTCAATTTCCATTTACTTCCTAGTTTCCTGAAGTTAATTGCAAATGAATCTGTTATAAACATGGTGTATTATCGCGGAACAAATACCCAAATATTAATTACTTATGTTAAATTGATTTATTGCCAAAGGTGCAATAAGGAAGAGTAGCGAAATAATGAAAATGGGACTCGTAAAATTCAAAAATTCCTGATACATTTTTTCCCACACTACATTATATTGACAAAAAGGAATTTGATGAAACGTGAGTTAAAGCTTATGTATGGCTTAAAAAAACAAAATAAAACGTTAAAATAAAAAACCTCGTGTTCTATTCCAGAATATTCTCCTTCAGTATTTTCTCGAATTGTAACAACATCAACATTATCATACAAAGTTTTATGACCTTGCAAAGAACGACATGGACGTACATTTGCAAATAAATTGAATTCACTAAAAAAATTAAAATTATTTTTAAAACAAAATTTAAAAAAAACCGTCGAACAGCCAAATTCAAAGATCGATGCCCTTTTCCAATTGGAGTTTCTAAAGGACCTTTTAATCCAACTTTGTTTACATGCATTAATTCGATGCATTTAGATGGAATTGAATAAACTCCGTCTTTGCCACGTACAGGAGTTACATCAACTGGATCCTAAAAATTAACAAAATATTGACAAATAAAAGATAAAAATCCAAAGAAAGGATCGGTATGTACTGACTTTACTCTGACAAGAACACAAAAACTTTTTTAAAAAGAAAAAATACCCATTCAATTGGAGTTTTAGCTGCAGCAAAAATTTGTTGAACAGCAGCAGAAATTTCTGGCCCAATTCCATCCCCTGGAATTAAAGTAACACGACGAATTTCCTGTTGACGGGAAGATGAAGTTGCAAAACTTTTACGTGCATTTTGTAGAAGTGGACGGTAATTAAATAATTTGCTGAATTGCATCTTTTTTTAATATAAAACCCTAGAAAAAGAAAAATTTTATCAAAAAATTAAAAATAAAAACCAGACAAATAAATAAAAAAAAATCTTTGAATAATTGGACAAATTTAATTTTTGTTAAAATTGGCAAATCGTAATAAAACATACAAAAATTTTCATTATATCTAAACGTAAAGAAATGTCATTTAATCTACTAGGGCAAAAATCCCCATTTGATCTAATGATAACTTTAATCATTAATCGTTGATTGATATTTTTTGTTTTAGGACAACTTGATTTGCATACGTGTTCAATTAAAAGAAATATTATAATTTTTATTAAAAATTTAATTTTTAATTGTTTTCAGGTTGGGCAAAAATGTTTAAGGAGGTTATTATAAATTTAAAGTACCCTTCTCAATTAGTCTTGTTGGCATAAATAGACTAATAAATAATTTTTTTACTAAATAATTTTAAATTTAATTTCTTTTCAGATTTTTTTATTTCAAAAAGAAATGTCTTCTTCTTCTTATATATTATTTGACAACAGTAGTGGAAGTTCTAATTCTTTACATGAAAGTGTTGAACTTAGATCGAGATCTAAAAATCAACATTCTTCAAATACAGCAACAGATCCTTGGCGTCAAGAATCTCCACATTCAAATGGTTCTTCACGCCTTCAATTACTAGAACATAACGTTAAAAATGGAGAAAGTTTAATGCAAATATCTTTACTTTATTCTGTTCCGGTTTGTTTTTAAATTATTTGGAAGGTTTTGAAATTGCCGTATTTATTCTAATAAAACGACATTCTAGAAGAGGGTTGAAAATTAAGACGACATGTCGTTATATTAGAATAAATACGGTACATTTATTTTTAATTATTTTTGGAATAGCAAAAATAATTTTATTTTTCTAATGGTAAATGTCTGAAAAATAATTTTTCTATTTTTTTAGATTTTTCCTTTAACTCGCTATGAAAAATGCTTGTAAATAATAAGTTAAAAATATTCTCCAAGTGAGAATATTTTTCAATTCATTTTTTTAATTTTCTAAGATTTTCCCTTCCAATTAAAAATTCTTTTAAATTTTTTTAAAGGTATCAGAAATTAAACGTGTAAATAATATAGTTGCTGATCAAGAAATACATGCATTTCCAGTAATTAAAGTCCCCTTAAGCCGAACATATTTATTAAAAAGACAATTAATTGAACAACAACAAAGTAATCAATTAATTGAAATTGAAGGGGAAAAACAAAATATTTCTTCAGAAATTGGAAATGGACAAATTTTGAATTTAAATTTACAAAATGAAAATTTAATGGTTTTTTTTATTGAAATTTATAGAGATTTCGATTTATATTTAAAGCCAAAATTTAAAAAAATTTTCATTTTTAAAGGACTCCATTCCACTCAAATCTTCACAAAATTCTTTAAATGGATCAGAAAATAGCCCAAATTCACCAAAATATGCCCGCCAAACAATTGAGGGGATTTTAGACGAAGCTGATAAAACAGTTGCAGCTATTAGACAAAATTTGCCTTCTCCCTCACTTGAAGGGGGACAATTCCATTTTGTTGATGCTGGGGTTCCTGATAATTCTTCAAGTATTTTTTAAAAATTTTTTCTTGGGAAAGGGGGTAGAAGGAAAGGCTTAAATAAATAGTAGGCAAGGATATCTGTTCTTTTTCGCATTGGAATGTTTTTTCGCATTTCTTTCAAAATTGAAGTAAAACAATTCTTAACTTTTTCAAAAATAAAGACAATTTTTAAAAAGAACACGATGAGTTTTGTTAATCTTTTCTCTCGATAAATTTTTTTAATTTAATTAAAATTAAGATATGTGGATAATATTAATAATTGTAATTGTTATTTTTGTATTACTTCCATTGGGTTTAACTTTACTTGAAGAAGCTGGGGAATTAGGTGAAGAACGTCAACAACAACAACAAAATCATCATCAAAATAATTAAATGAGTATATTTTTTAAATTTAATTTTCTGTTATTTTTAAATAATTCCCCCTCTTTTTTTTAGATTTTTTTATTTAATTTTATTTAAAAATTAAAAAATCCTTTAAACCAAAGTTGAAGCCAAATTTTTAGAAGAATTATTTTTATAGGAAATTTATTTTTCTTTTGGCATCAACTTCGTTATATTCTCAATTAAATTCTAAATTGTTATTTAAATATAAAAATTAAAAAAATAATTTACAATTTCCTTTTTTATTGTCATTTCAATTTGTAAAGGAAAAAATAAATTTTTAAAAATATTACCATAAAAGGAAAAGCAAAGAGAGAGACAATTTTTTATCAAAAAGCAAGTAAATAATATAAGGAAAACAAAATAGTAATTTGTGGCTATTTTTTATTTTTTTAAATAAGCAGAGGATATTTTTTTGTTTAATTTCCTTCCCTTTAAAAATGGGTAAATAATTAAAAAATAAAGATAATTTTAAAAAGTCAATCAATCAATTTACTTCCCTTCATTTAATCCACCATTTTTCTCTTCAGCCATTTTCATACTAGCAGCCATAATCAAAGTATCCAAAGAATTTGGGGAAGTCGAATTTAAACCTGTCTGGTGCTTGGCCCTTTAAAGAATAAATTTTAAGAGATTATTTAAAGATTGTAAAAACATATTTTACTCTGACTTTTCTTTACAAAAATTAACTTAATTTGAGGGTACCCCCCCCCCCCCTCCCCTACTTTCTTGAATTATAATAAATTTATTTAAAAAATTAAAATACTTTTCACGTCGCTCCTCATAAATACGTCTCGCATCCATCATAGAAATATCTTGCATCTATAAAATTTAAATAATTCTACAAAATTTAAATTTAAAAAAAACCTTCGAAAGAGCATAAGTACACAATTCCGGCAAAACATATTTAGCTATATAAAATTGTTCGCGGAAGTGACTCATTGGAGTAATATTTCCCATTTTCTGAAAATTATATTTTTAAAAATTAATATAAGGATTTAAACTTACAATCCACTTTTCAACTTCAATAATTAATTTCTCAGTTTCTTTAAAAGTAAGTAATCCACCTAAAAATGAAACATTAAAAAATTCTTACGAAAAGATTTTATATAAATTTGACTAAGAAGTAAATTTTTGACTAAAAATATATAATAAAACTTCTTAAAACTAAAAAATTATTTTAAAAATTCCAAACCACTTCTAAAGTCCAACTGCAAAAATTCAGAACTCAACATTTCCTTGAACCAAGTCTCATCACATTCTACCCAAATTTGACGCATATGTTCATGTGCATCCTCAGAAGAAGCCAAATCAAATAATGAAGGCTTTCCAGCTAAAAATAACTTTTTTTAAACTTCCAAATAATTTAAAAAAATGACCAAAATTTGTTCCAATTAAATGCTTCTGTGGCGATGTAGATTTACTTTGTTGCGGTTCAAAATCCATAGGTTCAGACTCGTTTGGAAATGTTGGCGGCAAATCATTGTTAATCTTAACAGGACTTCGACTATTCATGTGATGACCATTGTGTGGCTTTTTTGTAATTTGTTTGTAAGTAGTAATAGTTGATGATGATGAAGTACCTCCAATACTCTCACGATTTGTTGGTGTCTCCTAAATTGATTAAAGTTAATTTAAAAAGTCTGAAAAATAACCTTTTTAGGGAATAATTCCAATTGTTGCTGCTTCTCCTCCTCAGTTAACGATGACTCGTGTTCGTCATTATTAATTGATTTTGCCTTCTTTTCTGGTGGAGGTTGATATGGAGAAATAACTTCAGCAGAAGAAGTTGAAGAAAGTCGAAAACGTTTGTCAGTAATGAAAGTTTTATTCTTTGGAGTAACAGCTATTGGAGGAGTCATTGTAGTTGTTGTAGTATCGTCAATATTACGCGAATTTGATAATTCTTCGTCATGCTTTGAAATAATCTGAAAATTAAAACTTAAAAGTAGAGGGAGAAGTGGAAGAATAGTCCAGATAAAAGAATAGTCCAGATAAAAATTAAGCTTTAATTAGATCCCAGAGGAAAATTACCGATAGATAAATATATAAATACCTCTTCCTTCAATTCTTTAGCTCGAGGTGCCATTTTCTGTGCAGGTTTCTTCTTCGCAATTGATTTTGGAGTTTTCAAAGAACTAGTTGATTGCGCACTAACAATAGGAGTATCTTTAACATCAGAAGGTGTTGGCAAAGTTTTAAGAAAATGTTCATTTTGAGAAGAAATTCCAAGATGTTTACTAGCACTAGCAGCTTCATGCGTAGCATTACGAACCTTTAAAAATATTTAAAAATTGGGGAGAGCCTAAACGCCAAAACAAATCATTATTAACCTTAACATATTGAAGAGCATCGCGTAAAGCCTCCATAAGCATATCAGATCCAACACCCTCATTAATCGACTGTTCAATGTGCGGAAGCGGAAAATGGACAATGCTCGCCTTTTTGCCTGCCAAAATATCAGAAGATGGATCCCTCGGAAACAAAGTATAACGAATATCATCAGCATCTGGACCAGGCTCATCAACATAAGAATGAAACTAAATAAATGGAAATGATATTTTATTTAAAAAAGAAACAAACAATTCCAGGCCACATTCCAATCGAGGTATCAACAATTATTGGATCACCAGGAATAAACTGAACTTCTGGAGGTTCAACCTCAGGTTGTTGATGAGCGGATGCGACAGTACGAGGTGCCTTGTATTGTTTCGGAGTGTTTTTTGGTAAAGCACCAGATTTGCGCATAACACCATCCGAAGTATTTAAAGATTTTTTAGTAGAAGACTTTGGTTTCTAAATATTGTTAAGAAACAAAATTTTAGAGGCTAAAATAAATGTTTGCAGAACTTGTCCGCAAAAGAATTCTTCAAAAATGAAATTGGTAATGGCAAGGAATCCGGACAACAGCCTTAAAAGCTCATTCGAATAAGCTAAAATAAGATTATCGAGATTCTGAAATTTTGCCCAATCAATTGATTGATTGACTGTGTGTAGTCGGGATTCAAGTGTGAGCTCGGATTCTTCACAATTGCCAAAATTGACCTGAACAGGAATACCCATCTCCTCCATCATTCGATCATTTTCTTCCAAAATTTCTTCAATGCTAGTTCCTTGTAAAATCCTCACTGCTTGATCATACGAATATTCCAATTCTTGAGAAGCATTGTCCGGCAAAGAATCTTCGAGCTAAAAAAACAAATCTAGAGAAATGTTTTAATAAAACAAACCTTAAAGGGGCGAACTCTGCTCAAATCAGCTTTGAAAATCGCGCTAATAGATTTACGGTTAAGTGGAAACCAAATATGAGAAATCTTCCTCTCCTTTGGATAATAAGCATTAACCTAAGGAATAAAAATAGTAAAATTCCTTGACTAAAATAAACAAACCCGAGCAGGATAAAATTCTTTCCCTCGATAAAGAACCCAAACAATATCGCCTTTCTTGTAAGCAATGGCTGAAAATAAATAATTTGAGGATAAAACAAAAAAATAAAATTTTAATGATCAGATTATCATAAATTATATCACAATCAACCCCAACCCCATTACTTTAGCTATTCTTCTGAGAGAATCTCGGTTGATTTTTAAGCTCAAATAAAAATACTTATAAAACCTTGAGGCGAATCCTTTGGAGTTTGATTCATATTCAGTAGTTAAAAAATCAAATAAATATTTTAATAAAAGCTAAACTTCTATAAAAAATTAATTAGAAAATTAAATAACACAAATGAAGCATTAAAAACGAGAAAATCAATAAATGAGGTAATTGGAGTTTTAAAGAAAACAATAAACATTTATCCTTCAACTACAAAAATTTATGCACTTGTATTGTTTGGATGGTTATTCAAACGGAAAGTTTTTACATAAAAGTCGCCGTCTCGTTACTAGCATATTACTGTTACAAAAATTTCCACCCAAACAACCTTTGATTTTCTAATGGTATGTTTTCATTTACTATAAAGTCTTTCTCGAAATAAATTTAACGACTAATTTTATTACACTAAAGTTTCTAATTAACGAATTATTCTGAAATATAAAAAACCCGAAACTTGACAAACAAAAGTCCGCAATTTTCCGCAAAACCCCCCAAAACAAGTGCTAAAGTCTAAAATAAAACCTGCATTGTTCTAACATGGGTGTAATTTCGACCTTGCTAACTACAAAAGGTCGAAATTCAACAAATAAGGCAAAGAAAGTCTTCTGTTACAGAAATCTCTAAATTCGCTTCGAAATACAAAATTTTAAAATTCAAATCAATAAGGGGTAAAGATGAAAAATAAATTAAGAGTTTATAAACTTTGATAAGATTAAAACATTAAATGATTGGAAGGCAAGACCAATAAAATTCCTTATTTAAAATCTTTTAAATGTTGAAATCTGTTAAACCTGAATATTTACTAAAAACAAGTTTCCCCAACAATTTAGAGTTTATGTGTTCATTGTCAGTGCTCAAATAGCCTCTAGAAATCAATTTAAAAAATAAGAAAAGCAAATGACAAAAAAGTATAAAAATTAAATTTTAACGAAAATAAGTAAATGAATCGGATTTAATAAAAAATAAAACGTTTATCGATATAGAAATTTAATTAAATACAAAAATTTATTTATCTTACATTTATTGCGCACACTTATTTGCGGACAAAGAATTTTTGTTCTGCCTTTCCACCTGTCAATTACCGTAGAGAAAATACAGCAAGCCACGCCAACTATGAAAAAGAGTTAAAAGTATAGGTGGAAAAGCAGACAAGGAAATGTTTTCTGCTTAAATTATTAGTCTGCAAAAGTGTGGCAAAATAAAGTTGAAATTAAAATTAGTAAATTTAAATATGAATTAATCAAAAATATTTAGAGGTAATAGTGAAAGAACAGAGAAGTGATTTCATTAATTTCTCTTTTAATTTTAGAAAAACCTTTAACAGAAATTTCTCCTCAAAAAACATTTTTTGTTAAATCTCTGTCCTTAACTAATATAAATTATAAAAAAATATATTCTTGTTACTAAAGTATGAGCAAAAAAATATAGAATTTCTAATAAGGCAATTTTAGTTGAAATTTTTTAGTGAGGTTAAACAGGTGATTTTTTGGTATTAAACTAAATTTATTGTATAAATCTGAAGCTATATTTTTTAAAGTTATTTTTAATTTGTGGTCAAATATCCCCTATAATTATTTATTGATCGAGTTCATAGTTTCAGTCTAATAGAAATGGATGAAAGCTTCTCAAATCAAAAAAGGTTTCACGAGGCTCCCAAACTTAAATTTTAAAAGAATTTTGGAAAAGACACTCTCAAATATATTTTCTAGATTTATTTTTACATTTACCCGAATGTTTCTCTAATAGATATTAACTAACTCTAAAAATACTAATTTTATCACCTAAAATTGTATAAAATATAAAAACGTCCTTTGTAGTAATTGAAGATGGCACACACACAAACATACAAAATCTGATTTTCTAATGCCTTTCCATTGATTAAAAAAATTTTTTTTTTCAATTAATCACTCGAGAAGTCCACCACCGCTTTAAAGGAATACTTAATAAATCATAAGTTGTAAAACTGATGCCAACTGCTATAGGACCTTTTATCTAAAAATATTCGTATAAAAAGAAAATAAAAAATATTATGATAAGGACACTTTATTGAAGATTTTTGATCCGGAAATGAATTTTTATATATGCCCAAATTTATTTTTATATTTTACCCAATTCATGCTAATTCCTTTGTAAAGTCCTCTAAACAATCCTTCAAAAATCCAAATTTCAACAAGTACACGAATTACATTTTTGTTTGGACCAATTTTTCCTGTTTGCATTCTTCTCCTTATTATATCGAGTGGATAAGAAGAAAATTGTCCTGTAAATTAATTTAAATGGAAAATAATTAGAAGGAAAAGGGCTAATAATTTTTGAAGATTTTTAAGAAAATTATAAGGAATTAAATTCAAATATTAATACTTCTATCAATTAAGTTGTTGATTAATTCATTATTTACAAAAAATATTTTTTAATAATTTTTAAAAAGAAACCTATTGTACCCGCGACAGCACCACAACTCATACGCAATAAAGGATGCATTGGTTTATCACCAAATTCTTCTAAATTTTGAATAAAATTTAATAAAGAAAATTTTTTATACTTTTGTAAATAAGTTTGAGCGTCTCGTAAGTAAAAAACGAAAGACCCGCATAAGGCACTACACCCAAAAGAGTCGGGTAAAGGCCTCTATAGAAAGTTAAAAATCCGTGTGTTTTACATTCCTTGATAAAAACAGCCCTTAAATTTTCATATTCTTGTTTTGTTGAGACAGAAAGACGAGCCTTTTAAATTTTGAAAGTTAAAAAAAATAATTTTAAAAAATACTTTGGCAGTATCTAATGGATATGTAAAAATAACAGCAGTAACGCCTGCAAGTGTGCCAGCCAAAAATCGTCGATAGGGTGTTGAACTATGAAAAATAATGATTTAGTTATTATTTAAAATAAGAAAAAAGAAGGTAAAGAAAATTGTTAGTTCGTCCTGAGGAGTTCTGTATTTTTTACTTTTAATAGTCAGAAATGTTTTCCCGTTGACATTTTTTATATTCAAAAGAATACCCTTCAATATCAACTTTCAATAATTTCTTGTATTCTTCATGGGCCGCAAATTGTATAGCTGCATAAGGTACAACTCTTGCCAAAGAAGCAGAATTTCCACGATAAAGAGCAAAGAATCCACTTTCTCTATAAGTATGTCTAACAAATTTAAGGGCCGATTTAAAAGAATAACGTCTCGAGGAATTGACTAAAAAATGAAAAAAATTTTTAAAAATCTTTTAAAATAACCTTGAAAGTTTATTTTTGTTCTGTCTAATGGAGCTATTGCAGTTTTGGCGATAGCTCCAGCTATTGCCCCAGAAGCTAATGAAGGGAAAAATGTAGCAAAAGAGCGAGGTATTGAAGACTAAAAAGAAATTTGAAATTTAAAAAATAAAAGAAAAACCTTTTTAGTTTCATCATTGCTCATTTTAAAGGTTATTTACAGAGAGAGAATATATTCTAAAGATTAATAGAAATAAAATTAAAGATGAATATAGGTAAATTGAATTAATAAAAATTTCAAGAAGTAAAGTTTAGTTTCTGGAAAATTAACCAAAAAATTAAATAATTAACAACTAGGTATTTTAAAAACCACAGTTAAATACAAAAAGTTAATGAAAATTTTAACGGAGCAGTTCAACTGAGTCCGCACGATTGAGTCCCCACGATTGAGTCCGCACGATTGAGTCCCCACGATTGAGTCCCGGCACAATTGAGTCCCCACGATTGAGTCCGCACGATTGAGCCCCCCTTGTATATACCTCAATTGAGTCCCCGTGGATTTAATAAGTTTAAAATTTCCATATCCGGCATGCGGGATTATTTCAAAATTTCTATTTTTTAAAGTATAAATGCCGGGCAGACCACCTGAGCACCCCTGCTGCACCCCAAATACCCTGCGTAGCATCACAAAAAAGTTTTCCATCGAAGATTCAGTTGATCATAATTCTGTTCAATATCGTCCAATCGAGCTGATTTTGGTATCATTCAACTCAGCTCGTCGAGTCCTTTCGAATTAGCTATTTTGTGTTTATTCGAATTTTTCAACCCAAAAAAACCCCCATGGATTTGACCATTTCGAGCCCCATATCTCGGCGAGAACTTGTTCAACCATGTTGATTTTGGTGTCATTCGACTCAGCTCATTCGAATGAGCTGTCATTCAAAAAATCTCTCGATATCCCTCCTTTTCCCCAAATCCACCGATATCCCCCTTAATCGCTTAAATCTACTTATATCCCTCCATATCCACCGATATCCAACTTGATCCCTCGATGTCGAATACAAGTCCACTGATGTTCACTTTAATCTCTAAAAATCCCCCGATATCCCTCTTAATCCTTTTTAATATAATTAAATCCACGGGGACTCAATTGAGGTATATACAAGGGGGACTCAATCGTGCGGACTCAATCGTGCCGGGACTCAATTGTGCCGGGACTCAATCGTGGGGACTCAATCGTGCGGACTCAATCGTGGGGACTCAATCGTGCGGACTCAATTGAGGTGTACCGAAATTTTAATACAAAAATTCCGATCAGTTTATTTCAAATCCCACGAGGAAGTCCAAAAAGCAAATAAAATTTTAAGGAAAGAGTATATAAAAAGAAGAGTGACAATTAGAGAAAGAGATGAGGAAATAAATAGTAAAGAGATGGAATTAAAGTATAAAATAAATAGTATATAAATTCTGAAAATAGAAGAACAGAGAAATAATTTTTAAATTTTCTTCTTTTTGGCATTAAATTTATTTTTGGCTTAATGAGTTTTTCTGGGCAATTTTAATTTAAAAGAACGACATTTTTAATTTTCGACCTTCATTTGCTTGGGAACTTTCTAGATTTTTTATCTTCTTTTTTGCATTTAGTTTTTTAAATAAAAGATTGATTTTTAAGATTTTTAACAAAAATGTCTACTGAAAATAAAGCTAAACTTTACAAAAATGCTGGAAAACCTGATGTAAATTAATTTTTAAAATTAAATCAAAATAAACTTTTTCAGGATTTGCGTCGTCGTCGAACTGAAACTTCGGTTGAACTTCGCAAACAGAAGGGAGATGATGCGATGATGAAACGTCGAAATTTAACTGTAGACCTTAATGAGTCATACAATTCTGCGTCTGATACTGAAGAACAACCAAAAGACAAACAAGTTCAACAGTCACCTGAACGGAAACTGATGACAATTGAGGAAGCTGCTTCAATTCTTCAAGCTCAGCCAACGATTGAACAAATTCGAGATGCCTTTGAAGCGGTCCGCAGAACACTTTCTCGTTCAGCAGACCCACCTATAGACCATATTATTCAGTCTGGCTTTCCTCTGGCTTTGGTTCAAGCTTTGTCTGTTCAGGTTTGCTTATTGCTTTTATGTATTTAAATATTTTTTTAGGATGAAAAAGTCCAATTTGAAGCAGCCTGGGCTATTACTAACATTGTTTCTGGTAACTCTCGTCAGACGGCTGCGATGGTGGATGCTGGAGTAATTACTCCACTTCTTCATATTATTTCAATCTCATCATTAAAGCTAGCGGAACAGGTGATTGATTTTTTGGTTCAATTTCGGTCATTTTTCGTTACTTTTACTAAACTTTATTTCTGGTAAAGTTCAGAAAACTCCCCATAAATTTGTTAGGAAACATGTATTTTTAATCAATTTAACAGGCTTTATGGGCTATTGCAAATATTGCTGGTGACAGTGTTCGAATGCGAGATGCTCTATTTTCTCAAGGGATTGTTCCAATTCTTGTTGAATTGACAAAGAAAGTTACTCCTGACTTTGACCCTCCTTTTGCTCGTATTCTTGCTTGGACTATTTCAAATTTGTGTCGTTATAAGAAGCCGCCGACTCCTTTTGAAATTTTGAAACAATTTGCACCTTCAATCTCTATTTTGCTTAAACACAATGTATTTTTAAATGAAAAATTTTTTAATTTAAAAATTTTAGGATCTTCAAGCACAAAGTGACGGTAAGTCTGGCCAAGTTGTGTTTGGGCTATTTTCTTTCAAAAAATCTTTTATTTGTTTATAATTATTTTTTTAAAGCTTGTTGGGCTCTTTCATATTTAACTGATGGAACTGACGAGAACATTCAACTAGCAAACAAAGAGAATGTTATGCCTTTGCTAATCGACTTTATCAACTCTGGCCAGAATTCGCTTGTTTCGCCTGCTCTTCGTACTGCAGGAAATTTCGCTACTGGAAGCGATGAATTGACTTCTGTTTGTTTTTGTTTAAATTTGTTGAAAAATATTTTAATTAGGTTGTTATCAATAGTGGAATTCTTACGAATGCAGCACCTCGTTTGTTAAATTCTGAGAATACTGGATTTGCTAAAGAATGTTGTTGGCTTCTTTCAAACATATTGGCTGGAAATGCGGAACAAATACAGGCATTTTTAGATTTTTATTTTTCGTGTTTTAGTTTCTCCGGGAATTTGAACATCCCTCCATCTCTCTCTAATATTCCATAAATATTCTTTTAATTTTTTCTATATTCAGGAGGTTATTGACGCCAAATTACTCCCTATAATATTTCGAATTCTTGAACATGGTGAACACAAACTTCAATGCGAGGCTGGATGGGCAGTTGCAAATTTAGCTCATGGGGGTGCAGTCAATCAAATTTTGGCGATTTTGCGTGTTAAAGGTTCTATTGAAGCAATTTGTAGCAATTTGGCGGTTAAAAACAATGAATTGGTGGCTAATATGTTGGAGGCATTATTTAGTATTTTGAATACTGTTGCTTCAAAGTTAGTTATTTGGTATATTTTAACAAAGAAATATTTGGAATTTCAGTGATCCTGACCGTCTTTCAAAGATTTGTGAACGCGTTGAGGAATGCGGGGGTTTAGACAAAATCGAAAAACTTCAAGAACACGAATCTGAGCAAATCTATCTAATTTCTTATAAAATTATTGAGGAATTCTTTTCTGATGAAGAAGATAGTGAACTTGCTATTGGAATGGAAGAACAACAGCCACAACAGGGGGGACATTTTAATTTTTAAAATTTTTGATAGTAAAATGTGATTGTTGATGAAAATGAGTGAATGTGATTAAATATTTTTCGGAAACAGCTAATTAATTTTAAAAGTTAAATAATTTAAAAGAATTTTTTTTTGTAAAATTTCAAAAAATATTTTTTCACATTCCTTGCAAATGTTTTGCTTTTTTTTGGGCTTTTTATTGATTATTATGTAAAATCAATTGGCTGGGCAATGCTTTATTGATTAAAATACTTATTTGTCAATTTTATAAGTTTATCACATTTATCAGAAATTCTAATTTAAATGCCTTTGCCAAATGAGTTTTTTTAACGTTTTGCTGATTACTTTGACAAATTTTCTCAATTAAAAATAAATTTGTTTGAAATTTTTTCTTTTGAATTTTTGGTCGATTAAATTTTGTTTGATTACTCACTTTTGGAGTTAACTACATAAGTGAATAGCCGATTTTCCCTTTTTTATCTATTTTTGTGACGCGTCACTTTCAATGAAAAAATAATCGGGAAATTTTTACTCTTTATTTGAAAATTATTTTTGTTTGCAATCATGTGTTAATTCTAGAATTTGGTCGATATTGAATGTTTTTTCAACATTTTTTGGAATATTATCATTAAATTTTTAAAATTTTAATTCCTCTTTTTTAAAGGTTTACTATATATTTCCTAATATTATGTACATATCAAAATCAAATTTTGATGATGGAATAGAATGAAAAAAAGAATTTATTTATTAATTTTCCCTTTATTTTTATTTTCTTTTTTATTCTTTTTAGAAGGTTTTTTTAAATAATTTTTAAAATAAATTTTATTAATTTTAGATGGCGACGAAAAAACATTTAGAATCAGACTATCTCCAACAGGTCGAATATTTTGTACAGAAAAACTAGGATGTTCCTATCCAAAGGCGAAAAGTTTGAATTTTGTAATTGTTGGAGATATTGGAGGTTTTTTTAAATTTTTTTAAAGAAATAGAATAACTGGGAAATTTAATTTTAGTTTTATAAAAAATTTTCGGATTTGAGTTGCTATAAAGGAAAAGTTGGAATTACTAGGGTAAATAGATTTTAAAATGTCCTGATGGTTTTTAATGCTTTTCTATTAAAAAAAATTTTTTTCGGGAAATTTTTAGACTGAATAATAAATACAAATTTTTTGTTCCAAAAATATCATTGTTTATTTTATTCAAAAAATTTTTTTATCTAGGTTTACCAATTTACCCATACTATTCTTATGCTCAAAAAAGAGTAACAGAAGCAATATCCAATGTAGTTTTAGAACAAGGAGAGCCTCTTAATTTTGTAATTAATGTTGGAGATAATTTTTATTTTAATGGAGTTTCTGATATTTTTGATTCTCGATTTGAAGATTCTTTTGAACAAGTTTATGATGACGAGAATCTTTTAGTTCCTTGGTATACAATTGCTGGAAATCATGGTTTTTGTTTAAATTTAGAATAATTAAAATTAATTTTCAGATCATTTGGGAAATATTTCTGCACAACTTGCCCATACAAATTTTAGCTCTAAATGGTAATTATTTAATTTTTTAAATAACAGAAATAATTCTTTTTTCTAAAAAAGGACATTTCCTCATCTTTTTTATAAAATTCGAATTATTTTTGATTTTCAAAATTTAACTGAATCTCCCTCAAAGCCAGTAATTTTTGAGATTTTAATGATTGATACAATTGTTCTTTGTGGAAATACTGAAGATATTCAAGGAAAGAGTTTATTTAGTTGGATGTTTTCAAAGAAAAGAGAACCTAATGGACCAGAACCGAAATATGAGAAATTAGCTAAAAAACAGTGGAAATGGATTGAAAAACAATTGGAGAATTCAAAGTTTGTTTTTATTTTTGGGAAGGAATAAAATTAAAAATTTTAAATTATTTGGACAATATTTGGGGAAGAATAATATTTTATGTATAAATATTAGCATAAATAGGGAGCTAAAAAATTTTAAAATTTATACAAAAACAATAAATATGAGTAATTTGAAGAAAACAAAACATTGAGTAACATGGAGAAAACAATAATGTCTCCCTAACAAAAGAATTCCTAACCTTTTGCAAAATTGTTACAAAATTTTTAAAAAATTTAAGGCCAAAACCTTTTTTAATTTTAAAAATTAATTTCAGTGCAGATTATTTATTTGTTGCCGGTCATTACCCAATATATTCAACTTGTGAACATGGTGGATTTAAATGTCTTCAACAATTAGATATTCTTTTATATAAATTTGGAGTTAATGCCTATTTTTGTGGTCATGACCATAATTTACAGCATATAAAAATTGAAAAAGAAAATTTGGATAAAAATCATATTGAAGAGGAGGAAGAAAAGACTTTTGTAAATTATATTGTTTCTGGGGCAGCTTCAAGATCTGATAGAAGTGCTAAACATTTAAATGATATTTCTGAAGATTCTTTACTTTTTAGGTATTTTTTTAAAATTTTTCTTAAAATGGATGATTCCTCTTTATATATTTTTCTGTACTAGCTACTAGAGATTTGAAATGCCTGGGCCTATTCCTGGGTTATGGGTTTGATTTATTGAGATCATGGGCCTGTAGTCAGGAAAAACTCGGGCAAAGAAAAACCCAGGAAGTCAAAAAATGTCTTGGCCTGGACTCTGATTGTGATTACAGGAAAAACCCAGGCCGATCTTTAATAGCCACATTCTTTCTTAAGAAAAATTAATTTAAATTTAAAGATATCCAACTGGTTGGAATCCATTTTCTCAAATTGGATTTTCTAATGGTGGTTTTGTGCAAGTACGTGTGGAACGAAACCAAAGTGAAGTAAACTTTTTTGATGGAAAAAGTAGAAAAAGATATTCTTTCCAAATTGGACCAAGGAAAAAAAGAAAATAATTATTTGTATATATTTTTGATTTCTAAAATTAAAATGTCTTAAATATTTTCATATAAAAGTATTACTTAAATTAGGGAGAGTCTAGTTTGTAAGTAAAATTAATTTTTAATTTTCTGACAATACCATCCTCTCGCATCTAATAACACAAAATAAATTATATTTCCCAGAACTATGCCTAGATATTTTTCAAATCCCAAAATGTTTAATATTTTAACATTTGGTCAAAAAGCCCCATTTAGGAGGCAGCCCTAGAAGCCTCCCTTTGCTATTCTAATTATTTTTTTAGTTTAAAAAATTCCCCTTAAAATAAAAAACTTCTCTTAAAATGCTTTAAAGCAAAGAAAAATAAATAAACAAAAAAATAAATGAGGGGGAAATTGACCAACACAACAATTTCAAATAAAACAAAAAAATACTTTTAATGTTATCAAAGATTTTATATTTCTTGTTCACTTCTCCAAAAATATTTTTATGGAGGATTGTAGAGAAAATTGAAACTGAAAAAAAATTTTAATTTTATTAAATATTCTCACTATTTACCGGCTCAGATTTTGTGGAAGACTCGCAATTAAAGGCCCATATCCATTTGAATTATCAAACAATTCGAAGAGTGGAGCAGCCACCAATTTGAAGTTTTTTGGTACAGCAAAATATGCTTAAAAATATAATTATTTTAGTATTTTTCGAAGAGTTTGTTACTCAAAAATTTTGATAATTTTTTCTAGAGACCAGTAATCTTCACTACACGCTCATTTCCAACCACCTACACCAATAGAAAACTCGCTAATTAAAAATAAAAACCTTTATCCGGAAGTTGAACCAAAAAAAGTTTTGTTTGTTCCTTTGGTTTTGTAACGTGTGCAGGAATATATGGATACTTTAAAAATAAATAATTTTTTTGAAAATTAATTTACTCGAGGTGGATCAAAATTTGGACGCCACCAATTAGCTATTGTATCTTCAACAATCCATTGACTTTTTGGAGTATCTTCTTTTCCAAGAGTCTAAAAAATAATTAAAATTTATTTGTATATAGTGCAGTACACCGGAGGCAAAATTTCGATACAAAACGCATAACAATCGACCCCCGACAATCGAAAAACCACAAGGGAGTATTATAAAATCAGGCACTTTGCATGGAGTTTTTCGACACGAGTCTCGATAGGAGTCAACGGTTGCTGGGTTCTACACCAATAAAATAAACCTATTCCTATATTTGCGGCCATAGGCATATCTGGCTTCCTCCGCAGCAGAAAAAACCACTAATAGACCATAGGTAGGAGCTAAACAAACATAGGTAGGAACTTTCTCCAATCAAGTCGGATTTCGTTGAGCTTGGTGTTATTCGATCAGCTCGTCGAGACGAATCAAATGGTGTGTTTTGTATCGAAATTTTACCTCCAATATACTGGACTACAGCTCCAATCTTTTATTTTTGTCTTCCATACCAAAAAGGAACGTTTAAGAAAAATGACTAATTAATTTATGTAAAATTAAAAAAACAAACTAACATCACTCAGAATTCTCTTCAATCCATCCACTTCATTTTCAGTTGCACCTAATTCACCGCCAGGCCTTTAAAAAACAAAAATTTTTCCTATTAAAAAAAACAAACAATTTGAAAAAAGTAGAGCCAATTTGTAAAAGCAAAACATGAGGCAAAGAATGTTCGTGAACTAACAAAACAGCTTCAACAGAACGTCTCATACCAACTTTATCGTATTCTTCACGCATTCTTTGAAAACGAGCTTGAACAGAATGATCTTTTTCTGATTGGGCATCTTTTGTACCAAAAGTGTAATTTGTTAATGGATACCTTGAAAAATAAATTTTAAGAAAATTCAAGGAAATTTATAGGAGACCTTTGAAGATATTTTGTTAAAAAATCTACAAAAGTTTATCGACAATTACTTTTGCATTCTAGATTATATGATTAAATTAGACAGACTAACACCTTCCCCTCTTATAATAATATAATTTAAAATTTTTAAGGATTGAAAAACTATGGAAAAAATTTGTTTGATTTTGCGGACTTTTAATGCTTAATAAAAACAAATTTCATTTTTTGACAATTCCTTATATCCGTATAAAAATTAAAAAAAACAAACAAATTAATAGTTCTATTTAGATTGCTATAATTCCTTGTTGGATATTGAGGTCCATTATTTGTAAATGAATTGCTACTGCTAACATTGACCGGCCATCCAGTAGTCATCGTCATAGATAAATAAATTTGAGAATTTTATTCTGAAAAAAATCTTAAAAAATATGTATTTCAATCTTTAAATAAAAAATTTATGGTAGCAATTGACTATGGAGATTTCGTCAATGGAACTTTTGCCAAAAAAAGTTTTTGGAAACTTTTGTGGAAACGACGTTTGAGGATACTAAATAAAAAAATAAAAAAAATATTAGCAATAATTAGAGGTCGGCACGGGACCCCGTGTGGGATTTAAACTCCAGTAAAACAAATTTATTCAAAAACAACAAATTAAAAAAATGATTTTCCTTGTCATAAATCAATTAAACTTTAAGCATTTTAAATTCCTTATACCTTCCTCAAAATATTCATATTTAAATTCAATCAACATCAGAGTCTTCATAAAATTCTTTAATCACAAAATGTTTTGTAATGTCATAACAAAAAGGCTTAGCTTCCAAATCATTACCAAAATTTGCTTCTACAGAGCAACATCTAGTCCAGACATTCGGTTCATAAGTGTCAAAATTTTCTTTCAACAAAATTGCTTTCCCTTAAAAATTAAAAAAGATTTTCTTTTTAAAAAATTTTTCCAAACCAATTTGTTTCCCATTTTGGGTAAAGAAAATATACGGCAACTTTTCACACTTATTAGTTGGTGGATAAACTAATCCACATCCAAAAATATCCTCATCTTTCCAACAAAAATTATCAAGTCGAAATACTTCCTCTTCTTCATTTTCAATTACTCCATCCTCTGCAACCAAACTAATCGAATCCTCATTATCATTTTCAAGACTAATACTTAACCAATTGTTGTAACCATTAATCTTTCCTTCTTTTTTACCTTTAATTTCAAAATAGAAGAAAGAATAATTGGTGCAGTCCTCTTCCGGTTTATCAAAATTATTTTCAGCAAAAACACACGCGTATTTATTACGACCTAAAAATATTAAATAAAAGTAGCAGCAACTAGAGATTAGTCAGAATCAAAATTTTATCAAATAACTTTCTCAATCCCCTCCTATCCCTAATTTTTATTTTCCCCATTTCAGGAGGGGAGAGGGGGTAAATCCTAAAGTCCCCGCCGCCAAAGCATACACCACAACTGCCAAATACAACCCAGCTCGATACTTGTGTGGTTTACACCCCATAAACCCCGCTCCTTTTTCTTCTCTCTAAAAAAACGTGGCCACTATTCTTGTTTCTCTCTAACTAGTAAAAAATAGTCTAAATAGTCTCAGTAAAGGAACAGAAAAGAAAAAGGGGTGGGGTTTATGGGGCGTAAACTACACAAGAACCCCCAGCTCTTCCACTCTCCATTTCGGGTGGGGGAGAGTAAACCCTGAAGAACTACACTACCTTTAGACATGAAACGCTGCTTTAAAATAATGTATTTACCTTTCCCCTCACAATTAATATATTTAATGTTCTCATCGTCAAGCAATTTCACAAATCCATTTCCCTTAACACATTTGGTATTTTCTGTGTCTATCTCCTCCAAACATTTATTAGCACAACAATCATCAGTAGCCTCAACCCATTCATTCTTAATTTGCACAAAACACTAAAATATTGGTACTTATCCTTTAAAATTCATTTATTTTATTTCCCTTCTCTCATTTTCTTATTTAAGTCGAAAATGCTCATTTTGATTAACTCTATGGCGATAAGCTTTACGTGTTAGAGGTCTGATGTGCATAGGAGTTACCATAAAAAACACACCATATGTCCAAATATATGTCCAAATTGATGAAGCGGATGACCCATGACAGAGTTGGTCAAAATTGACAATTTTGACTTTTAAGAAAATGAGAGAAGGAAAATAAAAGAATTTACGGTCTAAAATATTTATATAAAACATTTAAATTTAAATAAACTAACCGCACGTTTACAATTTTTAGTTAAATGTTCAAATTTAATTGCCAATTCTCCCATCCTTCCATTCATCTTTATTTTAATTTAAATTTTAAAATGGTGGTTAAGTATTTGTGGTTTGTTGTGGAAAGAGCTTATTTGCCAGAAAGATTTTTTTTTGAACAATTCAATTTATTGTGAAAAAGAGGATTTTTAAAAGGTTTAATCAGAAAACTTAATAACCACTTAACCACCCCCTCCCCCCTTTTTCCTCACATCATTCATTTGTTTCTCAAGAAAATTATTTTTCTCTTCAAGTTTAACATTCTTCTCCTTTTCTTCATTAAATTCAATTAAAAGATTGTCAAGCTTTGTTTGAATATCAAAATCATTTTTATCAACAATTTGCTGAAAGAATTAATTTAAATTAATTTTAGTTATTACCACTAAATCAAAATCAGAATTTGTAGAACCTTCAGACATTTTGTAAAATTAAAATCTAAAATTTAATAAAAATTAAATTAGTTGTGATGTAATTAAGGAAAGTTCAAAACAGGCAATGATTTTTTTACTGTTAGGTAGGGATTTGATGAAAAAGTCTGACACAAGCTTTATCTGATAACAGAAAAAGAGCACAATACAACAATGCCTTCAAAATCGAGTTTAAAACTGATCTCTTTTTGGTTTCGGACTTTTAAATTTCGGTTTCAGAGTTACAAAATTTCATTTTTGGGCAGAACGCCAAGCAACCAAGCAAAATAAATGAAATTTTATCCAAAATGGCCGCTCTGTCTAATTTCAATTCCAGGCATTTCCGGCTCTTGTCCAGTTCATGCGTCCCATGAAAATTTATGCGTCCCATTTTCAGCGCCGCAGACGAAAATTATGAGAATTTTAGAAGGGTATACTGCTCGAATAGGCGCAGAGACAAATAGGGGCGGGACATTTGGGCGCCCTAAGTTATTTTTAATAAAGCAAAAAATTTGTTGTAATTTTATTGTTTCCAGATTTTCGAAAAATCTTGATGGTTTCCGAAAGAATTGTATCCGGAAAAATTGCTCCGGAAATATAGTTTCGGCTCTGATTTTTATTCTAATTTTTATTCTTCACGAATGACAGATTTTAAATTCTTAAATTTATTTTTTGAATATTTAAACTTGAAAAAAACATTAAAAATCTTATTTTTGTTTTATTTTTTCAACTCAAAAGTAAAAGATCCGTATTGGATCCCCTTTACATTAATGAAAATCAGAATATTTTTTAAACAAGTATAAAATTATAGTGACCAGAATTTAAAACAAATTTTAGTCTTAATTAAATGTTTATTTTTAATTCGAATAAGTCAGTTAAACAAAAAACATTAATCATCATTGTGGGTGTATTCTTAAGCGATTAAAAACAGCTTCTCTGTACGGCTTATTAGTTATTATACAAACAATTGGGTTAAAAACAGGCGTAAAATGAGTGAAGATTGCAAGAATTATATAAATTATATTCATATTAGTTTCTCTAGATGAATTATTTGTATTGTTAATAAATGTAAAACTCATTGTTAATAAAACAAAAAATTGATTTATAGAGGGAATAATTGTCTAAAATTAAATTAAAATTAAATTAAAAATCAAATTAAGTACCAGAATTATCAAAGTTTTTGTCAATTGCTTAACTAATATCTTGAGATTTTGATTAAATCCAGTATGTTGATTAACAAAATAAACCATTTTAAATCCACAAATGAAAATTATAAAATATGGAATTATTGCAATTAGACTCATAATTAATAAGGGGAAATTTTGCTACAAAAAATAGAATAAATTTATTGAAATATTTTAATTTTAATACCAATTTCATAAGAACATAAGGAAATATTTTGTTCAAATATTCTTCATCAAACAATTTAATACCTCCATCAATATATTCAATAGCGTAAAAAATAACAATCAGATTATATAACAAACCAGCAAATAAAACAGTCGAAAACATATACAAAAAATATGTTCGGTAGTTAATTTTCATGTTTCTGTCAATTTATTATAACTTTTTTGAGAACAACATTTTTTTAAATTAATTCAAATTATTAAAATAAAATTCTGATTAAATTAAATACTGTATTTACCCGATTAATTCCCTTAGGGAATTATTTTTTCAACCCATCCGTGGCATGGGGAATTATTCAAGGGAGGGGAATTAATCGAGTAAATATGGTATTTACGTTTTACCTGTTCAGAATTAAATATCTAAAGACGAATTGGGCACATAATCCATACATATTTAAATTGACAAAAAACATTTGGATATATAAAAAAGATAGACAAATGATCTTGTTGAAATTATTTTTCATAAATTCAAAGAAAATGCCATTAGTAAAAATAAAGACCAAATTTTCTTCGACGTCGTTTAAATAAAACTTAAATTTTAAAATTATTTCTGATTTTTATTAAAATCCATCAGGAATGGGTATTTAAAAATTCGGAAGGTATGAAAGCCCATCCCCATTATTTGAAGTTAGAAGAAAAAATGATTTTATTAAAATTACTCATATTTAGTAATTATGTTTTTAAATTAATTTTGGTTCTTTAAAAGGTTTACCATTTGTGCAAACATTTGAACAGTCAACATTAAAATATCCAAAACACAATTTTGTATCAAAATTCTGCTGTGTGTTTTCATTTCTTCCGGTGTTTTAAAAATAATTAAAATAATCAGAATAATGTTTAGAGGATAACCAAGTAAAAAGCTTCCCCAATAATCAAATTCAAATAAAATATCAATTAAATTAAACATTTTATATTTATTCTAATTAAGAAAAAATTTTTTTCAAATGATTAAAATAAAGTATATTAATTGAAAATTTTTTTTATTAAAAAGTTTCACACACTAATAACTTTTAAAAATATAAAAAAAGTATTCTTGAGAAAATCATGTTTACATTTTTATTATAACAATTTTTTAAAAAATTTCACAAAAATGTAGCTAACTTACTGATACCACGTACACGCACTTAATTCATTACATAATAGTTTATAAAATTTAATAAAAGCTTAAAAATGTAATAAAAACTTAATTTATTAAAATAAAACAGTAATTATTATAGCTGTGGAAAGTCTTGCCCCAAGATGCTAAGAAGAAATTTCGAATGTTTTTATCAAAATTTTGCCTATTAA